TCTACCAAAGTCCCTGTTGGAGCTAGCAGCTGGATCCTAAGTAAAGCAAAGGAAGTTGAGCTCAGTTGCCTTATGAAGACTTAGGACAGCATTAGATAGGGAAAGGAGATTTCAGATGTAATCTCTGATATCTTCTGGAGTTATTTGTCAAAAGTATATGGTATGAACTTAGAGAACTTGGACATCTACTCCTCTTCCACTTTCAATCTCAGTCTTTTCCCTCTTTAAAGACCTGAAATGTTTCCATCGCAAAAACTGTTAGTTTAAAGCCACTAATTAATGTATTTGGGCAAATATGGTGACAAGTGTTCTAGCAAAGCCAGGAAGAAAGGCAGATACTTAGAAAAGGGGTTGGAGACAAGGCTGGTAACTGCTCTGCTTCTGGTGGGTGAGGGTGAAATTGGTGGCTGCCAAAAATACAAGCTGAGACAAGTAGCTCATTCTGCTCTGAGCCCACATCTGCACACACCTCCCTATCTCTACAGATGGCCAGGAGGCTGAAAAGAGAACACAGTTGTCTAAATTTGTGTAAGAGAAAAGAATCACTACTCCCACCTTGAAAGTGCATAAGAACCTCTTGTAACTCAAGTATTTCAACCAAATTTAAAAAGTTTAGTTGAATTTTCAGTCCTAGTAAATTATGCTAATCCTGACACTGTAGCTTCTAAATACATTTTACGTTTTTTTGTACTTAGAGATGACTGACTGGGGCTGGACTGTTCCTTTCAAAACTATCCTGCTAAGGAATAAATTTGATTTAGAACAATTCTTTGCATGCTTATGCTGTAACAGCTAATCAGTGTGATACTCGTCCAGTTTACATTTCACAGTACAATGTGTTTTAGAGAAAATAATCTGTTGCTATCTAAATAGTGATGACGCTATTTGAGGTAATTACAGTAAAAGGCAGCGTGCATCTCGAGCAGGTCTCTGATTAAAAACTGAATGCTCTTAAATTTCGACCACGTTACATTGTTTCCACCCTAACCAGAACACTGAAGAACCTGAAATTGGAGACCTCCTGGTTCTTTCATAAACAAATGAACAAAGTTCTGTTGTTTAATTTCTTGCTATGGGTCTGGAGCCTGAACTTCAAGTTCAGTTTCAGCGAGAAACAAAATAGGATAGCAGAGCTGAGAAAACTTGCGAAGAGGGCTTGAACAGAACTACTGATAGAGCTTCAGCTGCTGAGGAATTGTGACGTGCTAAAGGAGAATCTTAAAAGGGGAACAGTACAGCCTGCTTTGAGCATTGCTCAGTAAGTTGCAGTTCTTAGTCAAACTTAACTAGTGCAAAGGTGGAACATTTTGTGCTCTTTAATGTGGAATCTGCAATTGTTAAACTGGCTGCATGTTACAAATGAATCCTTTCCTGTGTAGTTGGGTAGTAACATACCTCTGTTTTGGTTTCTGTTGAGATGTTTCCAAATGTGCTTTTAGTAATGCAGCACAAACACAGCATTGTCATAACAGAATTCCATCCTTGGTGAGAAGTTGCAGCAGTACCGTGCAAAGGTGCCACTGGTCTCTTCCTTACAGAATGATGTTGGTCATCCTTCCAGCATTATGTCTACAAAACTTTCTCTGACTCTGTCAAGTTTAATGATATTTGGTGGAGAGCATGTGTACTGAAAGAATGCTAAGGCAGGAAAGATTCAGAGTAGAAACACTCAAATACGGAGTTGAGTTAATTTGGATCAATGAGTTGCCCATAGGTGGGCGAAGTCCAGATGAAAGTGTCAAAAGCTCACTCCTTATTTCCTGTATCCTTTTACTGTGGATGCTGTAGCAATTATTGCAATGCCTGAATATCATCCTGGTGCTTCTGCAGTGGGTGTAGTTGGCTCAGGCTGTCTCCATGCTGTTTTTCCTAGGAAGAACTGCTTGAGGAGAGCTCATCTGAGCTTAGGACTCCGGTACACTTACTGGTTGTTTTTTTCCCACACTGTGAAATGCAATCTTTATTTTAATGTAAATGCCTTGACTAGATTCTTTACTTTTGTTCATAAATGTTTGACCTGTATGTGGTACTTGCCATAATCTTGTGCCAGAGAAATGACTTACTTTCTGTTTGCACTGGGCACTACTGATTTGCAGGAGTTGACTGATTTTACTGCCAATTTTAGCAGGTGTGCTGTGTCTCAATGAGTCTCTTTACCCTCACTGCACAGTACATACACTAGCAAGTCTCATGCTCAGTACATAGAAGACTGAATTTTGGCTTAGAGCTGAGGAGTGCAGGGATTTGTTGTACTTCCCCTCTTTTCTTTTCCTTGTTCTGTTTCTATTTGTGCTCCTCGTGTTTACAAAGCTCAGAATATTTCCTGTAAAAACTGTGTGTGTGTAGTTGGTTGACTGCATGCATACTGTCCACAAAATGTAGTCCTAAGTTTGCTTCATACTTCAGAATTCCGGAGATCAGAAAACTGTCATCCTTTATGCTGTGAAAGGACTGCAGTGTTCGTTACAGCAGCGTTTAAAGAGAAGGTTGGTGGTGTGGAAAAGATTTTTTAAAAGTGCTTTTTGGCTACTCTTGTTGGGAAAGAAAAATCTCTCTTAAGACTGTCATGTGGTTGCAAAAGCTTGCTGTCATCCTCATGTGTAAAGAATGGGAGGCTGGAGGATGGGGAGGCAGAATCTGGGGCAGAGCTGGCTGGTGGGGCCAGGCCGCCTGCTGTGCTCCTCCTGTGAGCTGCAGGAGCTCCAAACCGCTTCCCCTGCTGGGCTGCGGCTGTCCAGCACTGCAGCACGGGAGCAGCCTGCAGACACTCAGTGCAGCAGCGATGGAACAGGGCAGCTGTACAGCCTGCTGTGTGGGGAGAGGAGAGAGAAGCTCCTGGAGCACTGTTTCTCTGCAGTACAGGAGAGAAAACCTTATGTGCAGAGTTCACGGTGTACCACTGCAGTTCATTACTGAGGTTTTGACAGTCCTGCATTGTTTCTGTCAAACTGTGGATGCTTCACGGTGAGCTGTCGCTGTTCTGGGACTGCTGGCAGTGGGTCTGGTGATGGGGTAAAACCTGACATTGTATACAGTGTCTCTGTTATCTCAATAATGCACTTCTTGAAAAAGTGTTTATTCCTTCTGCAATTAACTGGTAATTAAGCTACTTTCAATCACTCTTTCCCGACTGAGTAGTTGGTGGTTTTGCAATTGTGCAGATTGGAGTTTTTAGAACAATTATTTATATCTATGGGACACAATTGCTTTATTGTTTTAAAGGAGGTGACTATCCAACTTCTGTGTTCATTTATCTTGATTAACCTCTTGTTTTACCTCTTGCATGCTGAGTTTTCAGTGAATCTTTCTAAGAGGGGGGAAAAAAAACTTGATGAAACCATCCAGAGGTTCATGGCAGAAAAGTGTCTCCCAGCAAGACCCAGTGCAAACATGCCCACAATTTTATTCTGGAATGTAGCCTGCCAATCAGTTGTTTGGGATTGTTTTGAGTTAACCTGTAGTGCCTGAGTGCCTTTTGAGAAGTTACATCTTTTTCTTGTCTAGTGGGTCTCAGTGTGTCTCTTGGTCCTTGAACGCACGCATCATTTTTTTCTCACTGTTTTCTATCCCAGATGGACACTTGAGGATATGACACGTCTGGTCGAGGAAAACTGCATTGAGAGATGGTGCTGTGAGCTCAAAAATCTCCTCACCCATGCCCCTGGAATAGGGGATGTCCTACCAGGTGATATTGGTGCCTATTGCTATTTTGAATGTAAATTGGCATCAGAATCTTGAAGAAACCATTGAAGAAAAAATTCAATGGCCAAATGCTTCCATATGTTGAAAAGCGGTTGCCCGTCAGTGCACCAGCTTCACGTGTGGTTTTCCGGGTGACAAAAACAGGCCGGTAATTAAAAAAAAAAAGCAGCAGTTGTTTTTTTTTCCCTCCTTTTCCCAGCAGTGGAGCTGTAAGAGGAATTTGGAGAGCCTTTAAGAGCAGGAGTCAATAGTGAAAAAATTCTTAGAAGTTTCATTTTTGGCAAAGTTTCTATACTAGGAGTTGGTAACAGATCTGCAAAATAAACATGATACACTGATGGGTTTTAACTACTGACTTTCAAGTTATTTTTGGAGGGCTTATGCAGTGAAGCCATAAATGTTTGTCCATTCTCAGAAGAAGCAGCATTTATAAGCAATAACTGAAAATCTAAGAGTTAAACACCCTAGAACTGGGAAAAGTTCATATTTGCAGTTATCAGAGGACATCTTTTGGAGCTCAGTATCTGTGAGAAAGCAGGACAATGGCTCTTGAATGACAGGAAGTTTCTCTGTGGCTTGTGTCTAATGTTAATGCTGACTTGGACTCCAAACTGTGGAGTATGCCTGAAATTCAACATTCAAAGCCAAAACAATATGCTACAACTTGGTTCCCAGAGAAAGAAGCTCCATGCTGAAGAGTGGACTGCTTTTGCACAGTGGGGCTGTGTGGCTTCTCCTTACCTTCCAGAATGGCACAGGTCCCTTACCAGTGTCCTGAAATGTTCTCATTTCTCTGGCTTCTGTTCTTCCCGAGAACAGACTCTGTGCCTTGTGCTGGCTAACAAAAGAAGGACTCCACTGCGCTCGTTTTCAAAAGACACGAGGTGTCTGAGTCCATGTCCATCTGACGTTCCAAAGAGAGTGGTTAAAAAATGTAATGTCTGAAAATAGGACACATTCTGAATTAAATTCTTGAGTTTAATCACACCATACTCAGATACAGAATTGCTAATTTGAATCTCACGAGTCTAGAGGTAATTGTTGTCAAGCATTTAATGTGACTTTTTGCCAAGTTGGCCTTTGAAGGATGGCTCTGGTCCTGTGAAGAAGAAATGGAATAGCAGAAGCAGCCAACAGCAGTCTGTTAAAATTGAACTAAAAAAGTCTAATAAAAGCTGAGGGGTGAGGGGGGTGGTGTATTCTGCAACTTAATATGTATGGGAATTGGAAAATTAATTTATTTTCCAAGTCTTACCATAGATTTACTATGATATTAGGAAATTTACTTTAGACTTTGGTGGATAGGGTCTCTTCTACATGGAAACTATCAGATTTATTCCTACTGTAGGGATTAGAAAAGTAATGTTTGTGAAAGTGCTGTGAAACTCTTGTGCGTACGGCTCAGTCTGATAGCACTGTGCTACTTCACACTGCAAACAAAAGGGAAGAGCTTATTACATGTTAGTGTTTGCTGTTAAGCTGCTCTGAGTATTACAATATCCTGTAGGTTAGCAGGGGGACACTGGGTAGTGCTGTCTGTTTACCAGCAGATGGAGAAGTAACGACCTATATTTCTTCAGTTTGTAACCTCTGAGCGTTTTCATTCAATCAGCTGTTCATGGTATTGCAAAACAAACAAACAGAAAACAACACAGTGTCTCTGCTGCCATTCAAAGATTGCAAATAAGTTTGCAAGGATTACCAGCTGCATCCACAAAACAGCTTGGTGACACCTGCATGCTCTGCTAAGTGTCTAGTATTTAAGAATGAGATCAGAGTCTCCAAGTGCAATGTATTTTCCCATGGTAAATGGAAAGAAATTACTGTAGCCATATTTGAATTAATGCAGTTACGTAAGTAGTGTTGTTCAGCAAACTGTGCTTATGCTGCCATGGAGCTAACTTTGATTCCTCTATTAATTTTCGTAGTGACTTTTGAAGAAGAAAAAAATGGTACCTGTGGTTTTTTTTTTCAGCACAAAAATAAATCGAATGTCTCTGTCAGTTGTCTGAAGCCATGTGTTGAAAAGCATGACTTTTTTTTCTTAACAGTTTTGCAGAGTAATAGGACAGAATATGATTTGGATTCCAAAAGAAACATGCTGGGTCAATTTAAACTCTGCCAAGTTCTCATTTGCAATTTCTAGAAAACTTAAAGCAGAAACATCTGAGTGCCTGCAGAAGTCATCAGTCTAAATTTAACTCTCAGATTTTGTCTCAGTAAAGCACAAAACTGTCTGGTAGTGTTTGTCCACTGCATTCCAGGCACTCGCTGTTCTGTCATTGAGGCTTCTGCATAGGTGGAAGAAGCCATTTCGACAACGTGAGAACCTGAAATTCTTTTAACACTAAAATATGGTTTTTGACTGTAAAGACTAAGGAGTTCTTTGGTGCTCTTAAGACTAGAGTTCAGTGTTTGCTTTTCTCTGGTTCTTGTTCTCTTTGCCATATCCTTTAATAATGATGACGTTGTGACATGGCACAGATTTACACTGATGGCTAAGCAGGTAAGAAAGCCAGTAAGACTGTCACGTGATGTAGCTGCATCAGAAATTCTGACTGAGAGATGAAAGGTTACACGTACTGCTTCCCAGCTTAGCAGTGATGCTGTTAGTTTATAAAGTAGCTGTTTTTATTCTGGTTTTGATCCTGTGCCCTGCATTTTGAACTGTGCGCTCCTACCCTGATTTACTGTAGCTTTCCCAGCGTGCCTTCTTTAAAAAAAATAAAAACAGAAATCCCTTCACTGTTACTTTCAGGAATAGCAGGTTTCCTGTGATCAGGGGAAATTGAAACGTCTAGACGTAAAATACAGTTAATGGCCCCAAATAAACAAACTCAGCTTTTCTCCAGTCCTTCCCTGACAGCAATTTCAAGTGTTACTTCCAGCAACTGCAGTGTATGGAGGAGCTTTGGGCAGAAAGTGAGGTGGTGGTGGTTGCTGTAAATCAATCTCCCTGCAAAGCCAAGAGCATTCTGAATGCTGCTGCTGATTCCATGGTTTATTTGCTTGCTTTGAGGGAAAATGGGTACACGCCTTCTTTTACACTGGAGTTGCAACAGCTTGCTGTCATGCACTTCTGCTTCCTAACCTGGATGACATCTTACTTTCACACGTTTACTGAAATGCTGGTGCCTTTGGCTTGTGCAAGCAGGTTGCCTCCAAGGCACTGGTGTTCATCATAGCCTTCTGTTTTGTTGTTCAGACATGTATTGCTTTATGTTGAGAGAGCAAACTGAGACGGTAATTACATGATGGAGAGAAAACAGTGAATGACAAAGATTGAAGAACCATTGGTATATTTTATGCTGTTCTGAGTAAAGTGGCACAGTAGAGATGGTATCATTAGCTGTAAAGAGAGATTAAACAGATCTGTGGCAATTCATGAAATTTAAGGGAAATGAACCAAAGCAACAAAGTTGTGTTTGTGTCGTTAAAATCACAGCCAGGTGAGGCTGGTGGATTTATGCTGACAGCTCCTTGGGGTTTGTTTGTTTTTCCCCAGATAATATACTTATTTATTTGAATTTTAATATAGCTTCTCAAGTTCAAGATCAATTACTTAACTGTGTTTTCTAAAGAAATTAGAATATGATGCTACAGATATTTTGGTACGTAAAACTTTGCCATCCTGTTATAAATAAGCAGTTAAGGAATTCAGTTCTCAACTTGGGAAATACGAATGATACAGAAACTGAAGACAAAATCTTGTTTGGTCATCAGAGTGGAACTAGAACGTGGTCAAGTCTGATGGTGGATGTGTACTGGCAGAGAACAGAAGAGCTCTTTGCACAGCACCTGCGGACACTGATAGTCTTCCAGATCCTTGTGAATCTTCTCTCTTAAAAAAAAAAAAGTCAGTGAGGCAGCAAGACTGACATATCACAAAATGCACTTAAGTGGAGAGTCATGAATGTTTAAACTGGCTGATGTGCGTGCCATCCAGAGTGAATTTGCAGTGTTGAAAATGCCAGGTTCTTCATGCGTTGCCACTGGGGACATCAAGGAAGGAATTCTAGGGGAGATGCTGATCCTGATACCTTGAAGGAAAAAGGCCTTCCTCTTTTACATGAGAATTTTAAAAACATTTTCTTCTGTGTCGGTGAGTGGTCACGTAAGACTGACCTTTTGGAGTGCCCAGGAAGTGTCTGGTGATACTTCATTGCAATAAGCCTGTGTGCTAAATGATATCTGCAGAGACTGTCCTCTAGGAATCCAAACTGCATAGGTGTTTCCTATGGTGTTTAGCTGGTTTTGTTTTGAGAGGAACAAAATCTGTAGCTTAGGCTAACCTGCAGTCAATGGGATATGAATCATAGCAGGAAGGAAACTGGGGCACTGCAGCTTTTTGAGTTAAGTTGAGGGATGCTGGGGAAAGAATGTCCCAGTTCTTATCCTCTCCTTCACTGTGACTGCTTCCCACTATGGTTCTGGAGCAAAGAAAAACACAAAGGTAAGGATGTGGACAGAAATGATATGGGGATGGAAAATGAAGGTCTACAGAACTGTGGTACTGAGATCAGAGAGCGTGGCATGGCTTAGGCAGCAGGAAGCCCAGCATGGTGCCAAACTGCACTGTGTACTTGAGGGGACAGAACATGTGGTTCTGTTTTGGAGAGCTGGATATTACTTCAGACCTAGATCCAGGCATTTGCTTAAGTAGTGCATGTCTCTGGGAAAACTGACAGTACAGATGGAGTCTTTTTAGTAATGTGATCCTTTTTATTAATTTAGTTAATTCTTCAACTGTAAATGAACGCAGTCTGTTTCGAAATTTACTGTGATTTTTTTTTTAATGTTGGTATCAGATTATGACTGCTTCACCAGCAGGTCTGTACTGCAAAGCAGCTCCAGGTTTCCAGTGTCCAGTTTAGCGAGAAGAGCAGGAATGCCTGTGTTTGGTGCTGGAAGCTGGAAATCAGTTGAACATTTCAGACATGGAGAGTCTAGTCATGGTTTCTGGCTAGTCTGAAGATGAATACTTTGCTTTTATTTATTTATGTAGTATGTAACCGTGGGTTTTTTTGTATTGTTTTTTTGAGGCTGTGCCAAGAAGTTCTCCCTTTGTTGTTTATATATGTATATATATTCTTATAGTGCTGTTTTATGGACAGTTCTGTTCTGGATGTTACTGACAGGCTGAATGTTAATTAAGTTGATTGTACTTTGTGTTCCTATGTCAATTTGTTATTTAAGAGCCGAAAGTTCTCCCAGGCTCCCAGAAGAATGACTTGGATGATTCTTCTGTTCTGTTTATCAAATGAGTGCCTAACCTGTCTCTGGCAACCATAAAAGTGGGGTGCTGGGCCTATCAGAAGAAATCTGAGCACAGGAGCTTCTTGTCAAACTGTCTTAAGAACTGAACAAGCAGGAGTGATACTAGGTCAGTATTTATTGTATGTAGGGTAAGAATGTCAGAGGAAGAACCTTTCCAGCTCTCAGTGTAGTGTTGCTTTACAATTTTCTGTCTGGCTGGAAAATTGCAGAGTTCTAAAGGCTAAGCCAGATGCAACTTTGCCAGGAACTTTGAAAACAATAAAACTCATGTGGATGTACAGGTGAAACTGGATGGTTGCTGAGAATATTGTTGCGAGCAACCTGAGTCTTAGTAAATACATATCCCAGTGTTATGGCTACATTTCTTTACAGATTGTTTTTATGGTTGCACTGGGCAAGAGTTTCTCTTTTTTAGTGATGCAGAATGAGTAAACCAGTTCTGTACAGCACACAGGGAGTTTGCATTTAAAACAGCAAACGTGCACAAAGGTTGATCATACTCTGCAGGTTTCTCTGCCCCATGCTCCTCACAGCATCCTTTTGAATTGCATTTTTCTCTATATCTCTTGGTTTGTTGATACTTTTAACATGAGACAAAACTATTTCGCTGTTTCGCTGTCAGTTATTCTGACACTAATCAACTTTGCAGATCTTGTTTTGTTTGATGTCTGCGTACATCACAAAAAGAGTTGCTGAAAGAGTTCAATTATAATATCAGCATCTCTGCCAAATGTATTGAGCTGTTCTGAAAAGCAACTTGTCTTTTCTGACCCAGATACACAGTTTCCAACTGTGGAAGATGCTGCCAGAAAGGCTCTTGGCAGGAGGCCAGCAATAAAATTATACTACAGAAAAAAGCAGCGTATTTTCAGCAGCTCTATATACGGTGTGACGGAAAATTACCTGTCCCCTGGATGCAAAGCAGAAGTTAAAATAAAGTTGCAGTTTAAAGCTACAGTCCTCTTATTATGATTTTTTGAAAGTATCCAAAAATGATACAAATCCCGCTTTTTCTTACCCCTTCTGTGCAAATTCAAGTTGTTTCTGTTATTGTCTGATGCACCTCAGGCTGTAGATGTTCGCTCCTTTGCTATCAGCAACTGTAGTTGCCCTTGCTGCTCTGTTAACACAAACTCAGAGGGATATCAGGGTGGTGTACGAATGCTGTAAACGGAGCTCTTGTGAGCAGATGTTGGTGTAAGGGTAGATAATGAGGGTGGAGGTTATTTTTCCTCAAGATAAATATTTCTGGTCTGTGCCTTTTGCTGTAGCGTTTAAGACCAGTTTCTACACTGTAATAAATGGCATGGCATTTGTGCCTTTAACAGCAGCACACTGAAGTGAGGACGTGGAGCACAGTGACCCCAGTTTCCTCCTCTGTTAAGCCATTTCTGCAGCGCTCTGTGCAAGTACTGCTGTGTGCTGTGAGAGGCTTCAGAACACCAGAGCAGTTCTGCATTCTAGAAGGTCACAGCTCTCAGGTTTGGATGTTACAACACTCTCCTTAAGGAAGACAAGTACCTGTTTCTCCTGCTTTTCTCTGTGCTGTTCCCAAGCACCTGAAGGTGCATAAGCATATTCATTATTTCTGGCTGTTGAAATGTCTCTCTTGGGAACAGAACGGCCAGATGCAGGAATATGCCCTACTACAAAGGCCTCATTTGAAATTCTTTTCCTTGTTTGTCTTGCACCAAAGCATAAACTTCCTCTGTGAAGGATGGGATGTTTAATGGAAACACTGTTAGACTGTCATGGTGTTTCAATAACATTTCTACTGTGTCAAATCCCCAGTGACATTAAACCACACTGCAGGCTCTACTCAACTGCTAGCATGGTTTGGAGCAAGTATTGGCCCTGTTTTACACTTTAGGGCCACATGATACAGAGGTAAAGTGACTTTCTCAAGGTCACCAAGGTCTCATTATTGCTGGTAGCTTTTTCTAGAATTTTGTTACAAGAGTAGGTGGAAACCAGTGCTTAGGGCAATCACACATAATATTCTTGTACCTTTAGCCTGGACCTCAGCTGTTACGTCCATGAGAGCACAGGGACAAGCATCCTGCTGTAATCTAGAAATAAAATGATGCTCAGACCTCAGCCACTCATGGATGAAAAAAATGATAAAAGGGCAGGTAGAATCAAACTCATAAATAAATATCTTCATCTGGATCTATTGCATGTTGTTGAAACTTGAACCTCTTTTAAGATAAGATGGTTACTACCCTTTTAAAGCAGACTTCTGAGAGGTTTTGGTGATTCTGCTTCAACTGTCTACATTATAGACTGAAAACAAATGTTTCACAGCTGCTCTGTATTTTCAAAGAGCACTGAAAAGCACTGAATATATCTACAATTGCACCCTGGGGTACGGCTGTTTTCAGAACTTGTGAGGTAGACTGCAGGCTTGCCCTCTAGACAACAGTCTGCTTGCAGTTTTTCTGAAGCACCAGAATTTGCTCAGCCAGCTCTCCTTGTCCATCTGCTTTCAATATGCTGTACGAGCTGATAAGCAACAGCTTGCAGTAGACTTAGGAGGGAGTCCAGGCTGGGGTGTTGCTTGGAGTCTGGAGATGTCATGCTGGGCGCACGCTAAAGTCAGCAACACATTCCAGTGTCCTCTGCCTTGATCTGCCAAATTACAGAGAAGACAGCAAACTGAAAATGTGAAGTGCTGGAGTCACGGGGAAGAATGATTATCTGAAGGTGGTTCTCTCTTCAAACTGGATCCATCTAATTTGAAAGAGATGATCTGGAAACATGTCTGATAAGTATCTCTAGCTTGCCGTCTGCCGACTCTAAAGCATATTATTTATTATTATTATTATTATTATGACTATTATAGGAAAAGCTAAGCAAAAATCCTGATAAAGAGTCTGGTTCTAGAGATGGTGAATAGCTTTTAAGTTTGAATGAGCTTATGACTAGCTCACATATTAAGTAGTGCTGAAGCAGTAATCTTGGTGCTTGCTTGTGCTTCCAGCTGTCCCTGCTTGCCTTTCAAGATCACCTAAGGTAGGAATCTGGTCCCACTAAAGAACATCTTATTTGATTGCTTCTGGGAAGCAATATGGTAGAGCGTTAAGGTAACTTGGTATAATACATAGCCTCTGTGATAAGAAAAGAGGTCCTTCAGGGCTTTTGTTAGCTTGCTTTTCCCAGGTATTTTTAGTATGAGCATAAGCCATCTCACCTGTCCCTGTGTTGCTGCCAAACTTGCTTTTAATCTCCAGAACCATCAGGATTTTTTGACAGGCAACATGTAACATACTGCTGGAGAAGTAAAGACTGACATACAGGAGAAAAGGAAAACATTCTGTGTGTGTGTGTGTGTGTCACCCTGCAGAAATTTTGACTGGGTTTTCCAGTTACTTCAGAATGTTGCCAGAAAACTGTTGCAAAAATATATACAATGAAAGGAAAACAGGAGTTTTCTCCAAGAACTATGCAGTAAGCTTCTACTTTCCTCTCTAGCACTACCTGCTCTGTCATTCTTCTAGTTTAGTACAAGAGGGCTGCTGTAGAGGCTTTTTTAGCTGTTGTGTACTGCAAAAAGCAGTGCAAGGGCAGAAGAATCATCATGAATGATTTCAGGCAGACATGATCACAATTCTCATGTCTTCAGTTTATTATAACGTATATCCCTCTTTTTAAATAAGAGATTAGTTAATGCCACCCAAAGTACAGCATCTGACAGAGGATGATTTGGCGAGCTCTTCTCTGCTGTGAAGCTTTAGTCAGTGGTTTGACTCAGTGTTCTGCATTGAGCACTTATTGGAATTAACATGTTTTTTCTGGATTCAAGTTGGTTTTCTCTTTCTTTTTTGCAGGTGAGTTGCAGAAAGTGACTCTTATAGCATCTTAGCTCTATGAACTCTTGAGCTGTCAAGGGACTGAGAGGCTTATGAAGAGGTTCTGTCAAGCAAAACAGCTCTTAGCAAAGACACCAAGGAGGAGGGAAAAGGAGAAAGAAAGAGAGAGCTGAAACAGTAACAAATCATGGTAGGTATCCCTATCTTTCATAGGGTCACATTAATAATATTCTCTGATGGTCTTGCACGGGGTCTGATGAAACAAGCAAGGAGATATTCTGACCTCACACTAAATTGGAGATGGTAGGGCATACTTTGAGTAAAGCAGACAAGGTTTGATATTTTGTCAGCCATTTCAAACCAGAGAGTTGCATTACATTATTACATTATTACATTATTAAATGTGAATGAAGGGGATGCTCCTAGTTTTTCTAATAAAACTAGCATTAGCAAGCTGTAGCAAATAGTGTGAGTGACCTTGAACTTACAGACTGCACAACCAAATGCTGCTGTTCCCCTTTCACTCCTTGCTCACAACAGCAAGTGTAAAATTATTTGTATTTTTGTACACGTATTAAAAGCTGAATGCATGTGGTCCTATGCACTTTTCATTAACAGCGTAGATGAGATGTCAGTAAAGGATATGCACCAAGTGTATTGAACTAAATAAGGAGTCATTTCTAGTCTACCTGGTGCTGCTCCCAAATTGGGAACATCAGAGATGATTACATTATCAAGCTGTATAAATGTGAAGGATTGTGATGGTAAGATTCTGAAGATGTGTTCACAAAAGGGCAGTAAACCTACCCAGTTCTGAAAAATACTGTGGAGAGCAGTTTAAGCATAGATTGTAAGTCCTCTTAAGTGTTACTGCTGAGAAGGGAAATGAGAATAAATGCAATAAATGTTAAATTCTGTTCTCTAACACTTGTACAGCTGTGGCTGATGACAGCCAGGATGTATGTTTATATTTAAACAACTACTTACACACATATATGATCCAAGATAAGATTTTTACCTGCTATAGAGCACAAAGGGAGGAAGAACACTTGACACAGCAGAGTTATCAACGTGAAGTCTTCTTTTCCTATTGTTTTTGGCCTAAATTGATCTTGCCAATGCTTATCTATTAGAAAAGAACAGAAAAGTCTTCATATCTGAGTTAATAGTTTGTTGTTGTTTGACTGTTTTTCCTGATTGATATTTCATGATATTTGAGATGGTAGAGATGAATGAATAAATCCAGCTTGTCAGTTTTCACTGCAGAACTGCAGCTTCTCTGTATACCCAAGCTGCAGATTAACCTCAGGAGGAACCTTCTGGAAATATTTTTGCAACTGTAAAAAGCACTGGAGTAACACCAGACCCCTGGCTGATGAGTTTTTACTACTTGAATTGTTGCTGTGGGGAGGCATGAAGAAGTTAAGGAAGTAACTGTAGTGCTGATCTTTGAATGTAATAACCTAGGAAGCCACGACCAGTTGATCTACAAGTATTAGACCCAAAAGCCTTCCACATCCTTCACAGGCCCATTTTGTGGTTGGACTTGATGATCTTTAAGGTCTTTTCCAACCTGAGCAGTTCTATGATTTTCTATGACCTGAAAAACTTGTGCTATTGCAGAGTATGTGCTGTTAACAAACCCACCAACTAGGGGGTAAAAACTAAAGCATTTGCAGTGTTTAATGTGTAGGAGGATGGAGTTCTGGTTGATGATTCTAAGTTCCAGGGGACTTTCAGTAGTGGCTGGCATGTGTCTAGAGAATGTTCAGAGATGTACTTGCTGGAGGTCTGTGCTGTGTAGCTGGTCCAGGTCGCTGTTTAGATCAGCTGAGTTTCAATTGGCCAGAGCGTAGCAAACTATAACCTCTTGGCACAAGTCATTTAACCATGTTTACCTCCTTCAGCAGTATCGCTCAGGTCTTGAAGTTTCATTGCAAACTTACCATATTTTTAAGAAATAATTTCTGCATTCCTTACCAGCTTATCCCTATCCTCATTTTCATTCGTGCTTTTGTAAATCCCAGTGCATTTTGCTAAGCTGCACTTACCAATACGTAGTGTCTGTGACTTTGTCTGCAGAAGCAACAAAGCCGTAGGGGAGTGCCTATTTACCTGATTTGTTCTAAAGGGGTTGCCACTGTCTCTAACAGAAATTGAGGACAGACAGCTGCACTCCATGCATCAAGAATATACAAAGTTGTATTTAGAGAGTTGTCTCCATATTATCCTTGTCAGCCCTTTGCTTTCATCCTGGGCTACTTACGTTTTGAATTTGCCTACTTTAAAATGTGGTTACCTTTTGGCATCAAGGTGCCTAAGCTTTTCCCTTTGCTTTGAGCTATCCAGCTACCGAAGCTTCAGACAGTCAGGAAAGGTCACTGAAATTCAGGATCTAAGTTCCTGCAGGTATTGCTGGGTAGGGTGTTTCCTTCAGTGCTGTTACTCACAATTTGTTTCTCCTTTATATGTAGATGCTTTGGACAAGATTGGGGTCTAGGTGTTCTTTCACTGACTTTGAAAACCTGATCTTAGTTAACAAGCGAGTCAAAGAACAAGGGAAGTTAAAGATGTTTGAAAGTGAAATGAGTTGCCCAGGACCCAAGGGATGTACCTCCAGAGCACAGTTATCTCATCCTACTGTGGACATAAATTGTGCTCCAGATGTGCCAGTGTTAGCAGCCAGTATTACTGGCCAGTAAAGGCTTCTAGGCATCCAATGCTAGGTGTCAAAAAGAAACCCCACCTTAAGCCTTATACATTTTGCCAGCTTAATGCTGATTCCATGATAGTCTTTGGTGTCTGTGTATCTCTCTGATAAGAAATCAGTCCTGCCAGATTGCAACACATGGTCATCATAAAACCTTTTCTTACATCTATCAGTGAGGACTGCCATTCAGGTAGTGTCTTTCTATTGATAACTGAATAATTTTGTTCTTTTTCCTCTCCTTTCCCACTCTGTAACAGAGATCTATCCGATCTTTTGCTAACGATGACCGCCATGTTATGGTGAAACATTCAACCATTTATCCATCTCCAGAAGAACTTGAAGCTGTCCAGAACATGGTATCAACAGTAGAATGTGCCCTTAAGCATGTGTCTGACTGGATGGATGAAAAGAACAAGTCGGTAAAATGTGAGGGTGATGTGGAAGCAAAGGAGGAAGCTGCAGAAAGCAATGCCAAGTGAGTGAGTTGAGCCTCATAATATGTTACTGTGCAGTTACTGTGCAGGTTCCTTTCCTACAAAATAAGAGTTGTAGCGTGCTTTGATTCTGTTGTGTACAAATATTCATGGGACACAGTGAATATATTTGCACTGCTTGAGGTGGGAACATACAGAGCGAGTGCAAGGAATAGGAATAAGCAAGATTTAGGCAGCAGTTGCTCTCTTATTTTCATGTAATGTGAAACTGCATTTTAGCAGTTAAATGTTTCAGCAATAAGTGTATATATGTACCTGTAGCACGTGAATGCAAATCTGCAGTCATGTAGCTTAGGGACTCCTTCCGTTTAAGAAACAAAAGATGTTTATGAACTTACTGTTTACTTAGCAAACCAGCTTTTCTAAGGATCCATTTCCTTCTGTTTTATTGTGCTCTGAGTGAAACATCTGTTTGCTGTATGTCCCAGTCTGCTCCTTGACGTGGTGCCAAGTTTTCTTGTTCTAGCATAACTCCAGTAGTTGAAGAAGAGGCTGAAACAACTGGCTCCTTATTTTAGGTTTCTTGGTGTATAAGTTTTTAACTCGGGCACTTAGAACTAGAACTTGGGCTTCCTGTTTCATATGCTCTCCAGCTCTGGTAAGTATTCTCTCCAGTTTGCAGATGAGGAAGTGAAGCACTAGGAGGCGAACAGCAAATATGTCATGACCTGAAAAACCTGATTTCCAGTTCTCTGCTCTTCCTGTTAGATAATACTTCTCCACTGAACTTCTCGGGACTCTAATCTGGTTACATCCATAACGTAACCTGCACTAGAGATGTAGTCAAAGGACTCTTCCAATTTCCTTTCCTATGGTGTGTGGAATATTAAGAAAGTCTGCAGCTACATGGGCTTTGCCCAGTAAGTTCTGTTCTTAAAACTGATAAGTGGTGTATTCTTTATCCATATGTATTCCTTATGTTTTCTGACACCTTTTATGCCAGTGAAAGTTCTATTGCGAGGCCTTTTTTTGGTGTGCTGGTAAATAATACATATTTAAAATTGTTTCTATGTGGGGTCAGGGTGCAATACAAACTACTCTAGCAGCAGTAGAAATACTAATGCACTGAACTATGTACTTCTGGAGTGAGATACAATTCAGTGTGGATAATGGAAGAAGACACAGTCTTCCTAATTCAGAGTTATATCAGTTTGTGAACAGAAAATACACTATACTTGCTTAAGGTGGAAGAGACACTGATAACCATTATATTTATCAGTTATTCCTAAATTCATAGTGGGGTATCTTTGGAATTTTAAAAATGAAATGCTGCTTCTTGTTCTGTTGTTGTAATGTGGTTCTTAGCTCTTCCCAGGTCTCATAAAGCATTCAGGAAATGCAGTATGAAGCTCTGCTGTGCCTCACCATCTGAATGTACTCCAATTTAGAAACAAGAAATCTGCTTCTGTATTAACTAGAAAAATCCTTCATGGGTGGGAGGAGCAGCAAGCATTCATGACTTGGTATCTTGCTATTTCCAAATAGCATTGTGGGTTCTACAGAAAATCCCTCAAGTATTAATAGCATTTTTCTGCAGATTTTTTTTTAGCATTTATACTCGTATTCGACTTTGTCTAATGCAGAGTTATGGGCTTGGGAACTGTCGTAAGAACTGCTTGTTCTGTGTGAAGTTCCAATGGGGCACCGCCTTCTTCGGATGCAGTTTCTAATAGGAAATGTTCAGCCATATGAAGACCATAACAGAATAGCTTTGAAAAGTAAATGTACAGATTTACTCGATTCCTGTGGCTTTATGTTTTCTGTAATAAATATTTAACAGGCACACGAGCTGTGATGTATCACTTGTTTGGTGTGAAATGTATTCAAACAGAAATAGCAAGACATGTAAATTCATGAATATTGTTACATAAACTAATGTAAAAAATTATTTTAGCCAATTGTATTACCACTGCAGAATAACTGTGCTGTATTGAAAGGCTGCTTTTCTACAGATGGACAATTTAATGTTGTCATGTTATTGAAGAAGGTATTTAAGTTCCGATTCCCACAGAAAAAGTCCTTCTAAGTGCACTACACACTTTGTTGGTTATTTTTTACAATTACTGGCAGTGTTTCCACATGTCTTCTGATGTGGACAGCACAGGCCGTGGAATGGATTCTCTAAAAATAAATATTAAAAAAGTTCCAGGCTTGCATTAAGCGCTTTTGAGACAATTGGATAGCCTTGCTATTCACACCTTTGCATGTGGTTTTGTGCTTCTGCTCTATTGCAAATCTGGAGTACAGTTACTGCAAACATCCATGCATTATTTATACATATAGAACAATTTGCTTATTTATGCATTTGTTTGGGGGCAGATTATTTTACTAATCACTTACAAGCTAAAAGGGGCTAAAGTATATTTCCCTACGATGTAAATTATCTTCATTGCTAGCTGCAATCCATATTCAAAGGAATTATCTGCATCCAGATACTGGCTAAGTAGCACAGTTTCAGGCTAGAAGTTGAGATACTGTTTGCTTTTGTAACAGTAGTTAAAAAAAGCCAAAGCTTGTTTGCTTCTGACTGTTCCTGGGATAGTGGGATTGCTGACTGACCTTCCTTTCTTCTGTTTGTGCAGACACCTGTTGCAGCATTTCCACTTAAAGTACTTGTGCAAAGTCTGTGGGATGGCTGGATGATGTTATTGATCGAGTGAAGCGTAGGATCTCTTAAGATCTATTTAATGATCTTGGATTACAATGTGATATGCTTTGTTGTTTTTTTTTTATCCAGTCTAACCTACTGGATGGTAACAATGACAGGAACAGGGATGCTGCCTTACTGGCTGAGATGATTTTCTGCTTTTACTGATTATGTGCTTTCTGTTGTTTTTGTAAGGGGGATGTGCCGCTAGTTGGTGCCACAGTATGTGAGATGAGTCATGGCAGTAGCTGGTTTTGAACTGTCAAAGGTGCTTTTCTTGCATTTTCCTCGCTGTTTATTATGCAAGTTTTATGGTTTTTCTTTAGCCTACTAAACTGGTTTTTGTTGCAGTTTTCTTCTCAATACTCAGAACTAAAATGTTCTCACATCGCTTTGCAAGTTGTCTGCTGTGGTCCTTAAATGTTCCCTAAGCGTTACTGGGGACTGGAATCTAGTGCCTAGAACTCACACCTCTGTTGCTGTAGGTTTCACTGGTGAGACCTGTTGAAGGAATTAGGCCTGGAAGGTTTTCTGGAACCAGGACTTTTATTGAAAAATCAGTTTCCAGGAGGTGCTACAATTAAAATAATAATTTTTGATATAAATTTTAAGGTAAAGGTTTGACTATATGAATTAAACAAAACATTATGAAGGGCTACGGCCGTGTTTAAACTTGGAGCATTGCTAAAAGACAGCTCAGATCACTTCTGCTAATGGGAACTCTGTCAGAGCTTGTCTAGATCATAATTACTGTATTCTTTTGGCAGATTTGCAGACAGTTAATTTTGCTTTTTTTTGTGCTTTGTGACTTGAGCTAGGCATCTTCTGCACTCATGTGAATTGCAAATCAATGCTTTGATTATTTTTTTTCGTAGGAACCACTTTTATAAAAGCATTCTATGCTTAATTTTCTGATAAGTAATATGCCACTTCAGCACTGTAATCAGTCCCATCCATTTGTCTCCTCACTGTTATAGCATAATACAAGTATTTTGAATATGTAAAAATACCATTTTAATTACTCAGAATTATTTCATTTCCAGGGATCAGAGTGGTCGGACCTTGTGTGGTGTTATGAGAATTGGCTTGGTTGCAAAGGGTTTGCTGATAAAAGATGATATGGATTTGGAGCTGGTTCTCATGTGCAAAGAAAAACCCACAAAGACCTTATTATGTATAGTCAAAGACAATCTCCCCATTCAAATTCAGGTGAGTTAATTCAGGGTAGTCCTGTAGCAATGAATGATAGCACTGCAAGATGTGTTTGGGTCAAGACTGTAATTCCTTCCAGGAGAAGAGAAATATGTTAAAGATTAAAAAGCATACTTTGAATCTAGGACAACACCTCTAGACCACATCTCCAATGTGTTGTTATGAAGTAGCTATTCACAGAATTTAACGTCTTGCTCATGGTGCTGTCCTAATCCCTTTTTTGTGATGTCAGTTTTCCCATTCTGATAGCTAACCTTTCTATTTAGTAACTAACATTGCTGATTTTTGTTCTCTGCTCCAATCAGTAATGTGAGCTAACGGTAGTCTCAGAAATAACTCCCTGCTCAAGCATGCGGTCCTTGTTGTTCTCCGCTTCCCTGCCTGAACTTCTTGAGTTCTACATTGTAGTAGCTTTGCTTTCCTTAGGCTTCCCCAAAATAAGTGCCACTGTACATCTGAAGTGAGAAAAAAGTCAATTTAGATGGTCGCTCATTATAGCTTATTTTATTCATGAGCTTATAATTGTTTTTATTTATGGCTATTTCATTTTAATTTTGGCATCCAGCACTTAAGAGTTAACACTGGTCTCTTCAAAGCAGCTAAAAAGCTAATACCTTTAAGTCCAATCCAGATACCTTTAAGTCCAATCCAGATTGAAACATACGCTGTTACTGAGAAACTGTGCCCCAAAATACTGCACTGCAAGTGACTCTCTCCAAACCAGATCCAAACAGGATTCGTTTCTCTCCTGATCTGTTTTTCTGCCTTGCTTATTTCCACATAGACTATATGTGTTCTGCCACTTCTGACAGCTGTTGGTTCTCACTGCTCCTTTGTTCGCATAAAGAGATATGAGATAGTAAATACTATGTTTGTTCCCTGTCCACAGATGATGTGAGTTGAAAAAGGTTGACAGTGATAAGAAAAGCTGGTGTATGCTTGGGATTTTTGGTTTGCTTTTTTTGTTGGTGGTGGTTTTATTTTAAAGTTGAGGTAAGAGGGATCTAAATCATGAAACCAGCTTACAACTATCATGACAATAAGGAGGTTTTGCAGACATGCCAGACAAGGACAGACAAGGAAGATGTAGGTTTGTTAGTGGGCAAAACCTGCACTTGATGTACAGAGATATTAGCTTCTGCTTTATTTTGCCTTGTAGGCTAACCATGAGCAGATGCTTAAGTGATTTCATCTCAACACTACTGGAGTTGGGGTGCAAGTCTCAACGGGAAAAGTAGTTAGATATGTTCCAATTACTAATGTTCTAACCTCATAATCTTGCTGAAACATACAAATACTAGGAGTTAGCTTTAGAATTAATTTGTAGTTTTCTGTGCAGGTCTTAAGGGTGAGAGATACAGATCAGTTGAGATAATTTTGATGTTAGTTAGGACAAATTATTAGGCAACTTATATTAAATTCTTTTGTAGGTAGTAATTAAGCAAGAGAAAAATGTCTGAAAATAGATCAGTTTGAAAGACATTCTTGACTTACTGATGTGCTGTCAGGAGAGGAAGGTCAGGTTTTCTAGGCATTCTCAGGAATCTCTTCTGGGGCTGGTATCAGTGAGTGCACTGGATAACAGTGGAGTCTTGCATTCAGTTTCAAGTGCTGTGTGAAGAAGAGATCAAGAGACAAAATCAGAAGAGTGAGCACCTTAAACCTCTGAAGAAAGATTAATATATTTGTGTTTGGAAAAATGCAAGATGGAAATGCAACTGTGAGTTTCTAAAAGATGTCAGTGGTTATTTATAAAGGGACAGGGATTCAGTACCTCCCATGGCTACCAAAAGTAGTGTGAAGTGGAATCCACGTATTTGGAAGTGTAGCAAGGGGCAGTTTTGTTGCAAAACAGGCCGTCAGAATTGCGTGCGGATAAGAATCAGCAGAGATTTCAGCACCTCTCCAAACTATCTGTTGGGATTTGAAGAGTGGCTTAGAGTTGGTAAGAAATGGACTTCGTCAGCCAATCCTGTTCTGGAGGCTCTTGTCCGTGTGTGCTGACAGTTATGGTTGTGTTGGTCATACTGCACACAAGAGCTTCTACAGTTAGAGGCAGCACTACTGGACAGGCATGCACTTTCTAAGACTAATAGTAGATGTTACTATTTCCCATAATAGCAGCTACAAAAGTTGGCTTCTGTTTTTGATTAAAATAAAGATGTGATAATACACGACTGTATACAATATATTGATAGGGATGTGATAATACACGATTGTATACAATATATTGATAGGGAAGCTACTTAGCATTGTAATTAAATTTACTGCAGAATATTTGTTTTCAAGCATGTTACTGGGTTTTTCAGTTTGTTTTCACTGAGGGAGGCAGGGCCATACTTGTTACTGCAATCTTTTGTAGCCTTCTCGTTAATTCCAGAGGTGTGTTGCAGGTACAGAAACCACAGTTTTTCAGTTGACTAGGAGATTCTTGAAATCTTTCTTGGTGACTTTCAGAAACTTACAGAAGAGAAGTATCTCGTGGAGGAGCATGTAAATGAGGCAGCTATTATTATTCGTAACACAAAGGAGCCCAAGCTAACCTTGAAGGTGATACTTACGTCCCCTCTCATTCGAGATGAAGCAGAGAAGAAGGAAGGAGGTACACGGAGCGTTTTAACTTGTTTTTAAGAGTGTTCTATCTGAATTCTATCTAAATACCCTGACTGTGCAGCACAGGGTTAATTAGCAAGTAGGTTTTTGATTGTGTATTTTGTACTAACCAGACTGGCTATTGCCACAGTTGGTTACGTTACTTATGCCTTAAGAAGACAACAGTCACTTATTTGTCATGTAACTATGCATTAGCTTTCATGTGCAAGCAATACTGGTAGTGTTAACTTGATACAGAATGATATCTTAGTTCTCCTTTCTTTCAGTCTTGCTAGTTGATTCTTGAGCACCCCAGCGCTGCACAGTCCTTTTTTAAATTCAGTCAGTCAAGTGGGATTGGTTCCCAGTATCTTGAAAAACTCATTAAACTGTTTCTCTTCTTATATACAATAACTTTCCTGCAAAGCTTGCAAGCATATTCCCCTGACCCTCAATTTTTGTTCTTGATACATATGTGTGTTTCTAGATTTAAGAGTTTCCTAACTTGGATTCAATTGAAGTTAGGGTGCTATAATGGAGTACTTTTGCTTCTGAATTCAATGTTGTACCTCATATCCTTGGTGCAAAATAGATTTAGAAAACTGTAACTTAGTTTCTTTCTACTCCTTCTCCCTAACTGCCTGACCTCCAATCTAGTCATAAGCCCCTTTTTCAAGAACTGTTGACTGGTAGCATCAATGAGGCTGGAAACAGAGAAATAGAGAAGAGCAAATGTAGCCGTATTTTATTTTTTTTTACATCATGTCAGTAATTTCTGCTTCGCTTCCCAAGCCAATCCCTAGAGACTTTGCCACTGGATGATGTCAGACCTTTGACCAACTGGCCATTCTCTGTCATGACAACTGAGGCAGCTGGGCCCATGTGGGCTAGGGAACTCCCTGTTGCTCTCTTCCCATTCTAGACTTGCCACAAGTCCTTTGCTTCCTCCCCTCTCCCACATAAACTACCGATACAGTATGAAATGTTGGTCAGTTTCTCTTCATTTTCGTTTGAGGCAAGGGCAGGAAGGCTCATTTTGAAAGGAAACGTAGCACTCTGGCAGCAGTTGGATGCAGAAACATCTTACAAAACAGATGAACGGCAAAGATTTCCTAATTGCAGTGTCTGTTTATTCTCAAATTAGTAATTATGCTCTTTTGCAAGACCACTAAAAAGAAACTGCATATTACTTCAGTTGTTCTTCAGCTTGCCACAAGACATTGGTCAGGCTTGTTGTTTCTGCAGCTGATGGATGTTTATGAGGAGATGCACAAAGTGCAGAACAAGTTTTAATGACAAGGCATTTGTAATATGCCCACAAGGTGATGGTTTTCTGCAAAGGCTTCCATCCAAATATGTTCAAATATGCTGCAAAAAAAGTAAGGGATGCTGTTGTGGCAGTGAACTCTTATGACTCTGGAATTCATCCCAAAATGAACGAGGATTTTAATTTTAATAGTTTCCTATCTTAACTACTCTATTTTTTCAAAACATGAAACTGTGTTACTGCCTCTGGAGCAGTGTTACACTGTTATTTCTGTAAAGCTGATAAGAATAGGTGGGTAAATGGATCTTGTTCTGAAGCGCAGGTTCTTTGACACTGATTCATCCCAAGTGAAGCAAATGTATTGTCTCCCTGCATAAAAGGTATGCAGATACTGATGTGTAAATTAAGTGGAAAATATAAATTCATATTTTTTCACAATATCTGCAATTCTTTGAGTCCCTTTTACCAAGTGAAAATATTCAGAGAAATTTTCATCTAAAAATACTTTGATCTCCAAAGAAAATAGTGCCTTTTTTTTTTTTTCTCAATACTCCTGGAAAAAATGCCAACCAAACTTAATTACAACCTTGTGCAATTTTAAAAACCGATCCAAGTTTATTCCATGCTGTATTTTTGATGAAGGAATTAAATGCTTGTCATTTGGCCTTTCATCTTTAGTGTAAGACAGGCTGCCTGCATCCAGGCGTCCTGCAAGCCTCCGCCGGGGTGCAGAGCCCACACGAAACTGACCAAGGTTTCACTGTTCGGTGGCGAGCCACTAATCCTCCTCTAACCAAATCAGTGAGGTTAGGGCAATGGGCCTCCTTCTCAGTGCTCCCATCTGTTCTGTAGGAATGCTGTGTGTACCTTCATGCCCTGATGTCAGAATGTATCAAAAACATTTCTGGATTTCTCTTCAGTCCCCACCTCTTTGGAAAAGTGTTCATGTTTAAACTGTGGTGTTTCCCTATTTGTTTTTGCTCCTTGTTAGCAAAAATAAATAGTGGACTACTGTGTGTATGTGTGCGCGCGTGCATTTCAGTGTTTCTCAAATGGCTATCCATAAAGCTCTGCTTTCTCATGTTAAGAAGATAAGCATCTAAATGCTTGCATTTTGCTTCAGATTAAACTGAAACTAATTTCTAGCCATAACATCAAATATAAATTAAGCTCTCCAAACCAGAATGCTGTACCTGGCAAATCAGTTCCTGCTACTGAGCAATAGTCACTTAATTTTATGTAATAATAAACCAGTTCAGTTACCAAAGTGGTGCTGGAATCAACCCTGCTCTGTAACTGAGCACCTTCTACATAAACAGCCTGCCTTAGCTGGCAGCCAGTGATGCTCCAGAACAGAGGAACCGTGCCTCTGTGGAGAACACAACACTCCTTGTGTGGCTGACTTAAGTGAATGAAGTTGGCAGCCGCTGTAAGGAGGGAGTAAATACAGCAAGTGGGGAGAGATTTACTAAAGATTGGTTCTACGTTGCAGTGTGTGAGCTGATGTCAGGGCTTTATTATTTTCTACTTGTTTAAACTCCTTGTGTCGTTGCTTTTGTTAAAACCAGAAGGAAAAAAAAAAAAAGGAAAGCTTTGCAACCACACCTGAAAAATTTTGATTGGGTCTCACTTTGCTGACTGGCAGAGCATGAAGAAACATGCCATTCTCCTGAGGATGTTGAAAGGCAGTCTGCTACAAGCTGCTCACCCTCTTCACTGCCTGTTCTCTTCATCCTCCTGTTTAATAGCACCAGAAGTTGGCTGACTGCAGCATCTGCACAAAGTACTCAGAACACCAGTACTGAAACTGTAATCAGCAAAATTCCCCAAGTTATTTCTAATATAGGCCTTTCGAAATGGTCTTATTCCTACTGCAGAATTAAGATTTCAGTTTGCTGAAAACAGATCTTAAGAGAATAGAAAAGCCTTTTCATTCACCGGAATGACTGACATATTCTGTCTGTGGCCTTATAGTTCTAAGGCAAACAAACTTCTTTGCCACCTGACGCAACGTGCTTTAGCAGTCTGTGCAGTAGACTAGCTTGGCGATGAACTGTATCTGGACAAAATCTAATGAGTTTGCAGTCAGTCATCTTTGCTATTTCTAACGTTTTAAAATAAGATTCTGATCATTCATTGACAGTAGTTGTTTTATAAAATATGTGAGCTTTAAGCAGATGTTTTTATTGTCCAAAATAAAGGATCTTTTTATGCAACTGCACAGATGTATATTTAGTAATTGTGCCATGAAACTACTCCTGAAAATAAATGAAACTGCAAAATTTAGAAGCAAGCTTTGTGTTTGTAAGTGACCTTGTATTCTCATAGCAATCAAGTACCTTGAGACTGCAGCTTTTATTTGGAGAACATGCAAGAGAAGTGATTAATCTCAATATTATAATGGTGTTGTTGAGGGCAATAAGAAACAATGCAAATATCTGCTGTGAAGTTCATCAGGGTCAGAAAATAAGCTTATAGCACTTAAGTCTTCTGCTGACAGCAGAACAAGCAGGTGCAAGATGCAGCTATGAACTATCAGACAAGACACCTGGTTCTGTTCAGTTTTACACTTTTTTTGGGCTTTGGGCTCTTTTATCCATTGTAACATAATGTGCTTTAACCAGAGTAACCTTCCCATTGGGGGCACAGGAGGTGGAGCAGCTTAACGTTAAAGGTGTGATTCCACTTACAAACAATGCCACTGAAAGAAGCCTATGGAAAAGTACCTACTGCAATGTACAAACCCACTGTACTTTTTCTCCTAACATCCTGCTATTTTAAAAGTCTTTCTGGATACTGAATCCAGCATAGATTTTGGACTGGATGTTTTATTTCATCCAGACATTCATAATCTCTCTTGCAGGCTGGAGAGTTGTCCATTAGCAATGATGAAAAGGTTGTTTTAGTTTTTCCAAAATATTTACTTTGAAGAATAGTTGTGTATTCATGGGAAAACAACATGTTCAAGTTACAGCTGAGCCATGAATTCATTTTTCTTCCGCTCTGATGTTCTCCTGTCACAGAAAATCTGAATCTACATGCTCTCCGATATGTACAATCTGTCATTTGTAGTTTCCAGAAAGTCTGGAAGCTGATTGCTCCTTTTAAGAAAAAATAAAAACGAGGGAGGAAAGGGCTGTTACAACATTCCTTGTTCAGAATTGGATGCGACTGCTAAGAGCAGTCTGCACGCTGCATCAAAAAAAGAGGAAGAGATGTGAGGAAAGTGTAAAGCTCAACGGAAAATGTCTTGTCTCTAAAATCCTTCTTTGAATTTCATCTGTTTGTTTTTGGTTGCTGTTGAGAGTGAAGATTTTTACAAGTGGGGGCTACTTCTCAAAATGTATCTGTAATTTACCAAACTTCTTTCTTTCCTATGTTTTGGTTATATGAGAAATTAATCAAACTGCAGAAATTTCTCATAAGCATTTCTTACATATTTCTGTCAGTGAATTACTGTTCAATACTGCTAATACTGTTCAATAAAAAATATTTCAAATAAATTCAATTTCTTAAAAATCACCAACGCTTGCACAGCAATAACCTCAGAGCACTCTGTACTGTTTTTTATATTCTACCCCTCTCACGAAAATCTTCCCCTTGTCAAAAGAAGCTTGTCTCTAAAATCCTGTGCCGTTTTTGTGCACTTAAAAGTCACAAAGAAGGGAAAGAACAACCAAAAAAAGTGCTATATAGCTGTTTTCTGCCCTGAAATGTGTTCTACATTTTTAATAAGATCCCAGATTGTCTATAGCAGTGGCCATCTTTATTATTACTATTATTTTATAAGGAGCGAATGCCTTTGCTTCTGTTGCACACGTGCACATTTACTACCTTTAAGAGCTTGTTTAAATTAAATAACAGTGCACTTAAATTCTGGGAGTCTTATTACCTCTTTGAGATGCTGCCGCTCTTTTTGTATTGTGACAGAAACCCCTTGGTCAAATTGTATCTGTCTCTTTTTATCCCATTTTTACCAGTAGACAGTGTTGCGATGAAAGATCCTCCGGACTTATTGGACAGGCAGAAATGCCTGGAGGCCTTGGCGTCTCTGCGGCACGCCAAATGGTTTCAGGTTGGCTATTTGTTCTTACCTTGTTGTTACTGTAGCCTTACGAGGTTTAATTTGAGATATTTAATTTTAATGCCTCTTTAATTTCTGATTAGTCCCTAGTAGAGCAAAGGTCTGCAATTCGGAATTCAGTGCTGTACTGTATAAGGGCAGGCATGACAGGTACACAGCCAACTGGTCTAGAGTTGTTGTGAGACTACGAAAGCAATCTTGACGTTTTGCTTCCTTTTTGTCTCTCTATAAATTGAAATATTTTATTTTCTATAACTGTTCTTGTTTTGCATGAGTCTGATTAAGCATTAAATAGTTATCATTTTAAAAAAAAGCCTATCCTGGGACTCTGTGCATTTAAAAAGAAAAGCAAAAGTGAAGGCAAGGTTTTTTGCAGGTATACTGGAACCATTTTGTTTGTTTTAGGCCAGGGCAAATGGACTAAAATCATGTGTAATTGTGCTGCGTATTCTGCGGGATTTGTGCAACAGAGTTCCCACATGGGCACCACTGAAAGGATGGGTAAGTACAAAAAGAGCTGAAGGCAACCTGCTCAGATCTCAGACTTCTTTTAAGGACTGTAGCAGTGTCTGAACTGGGGGAAGCAGTGCGCTGTATGACTCTCTATCTCCCTTTAGCTTCTCTCCCTTTAGCTTCTCTCCCAACTCTCCGAACTTTCCACTAACTGCTGCCTGCATGGGAATGTGCTTACAGGAAGAAAAAGAGTATGAATATTTGTTCAGTCTATTAGGTGTGCCATTATTAAGGAAGGAGGAATGACAGTGTGGGGAACTGCACACCGTTATGGGTTTACAACAGAATTCCCCATGTTACCCAACTTCAGCTATTCAGAGTCCCCTGCTACAGTGGCGATGGTGGTCCTATCAGACCACATTATTCCATGTTAGCAGGTTTGGAGAGGGCCAGGTATTCTGCATGTCCAGAAAGGAACACTTAAGGGGTCACAGAAGGCAGTGTTTTCTCTTATGTAGAACTGATATCACAGAATCAAAGAATTGTATGGATTCAAAGAGGTCATCAAGTCCAACCCCTTTGAATATCCCTTAGACAGGAGAAGAATATTCCTGATTTGGCTGTAAAAGGCTCATCCTTTTAGACTTTCCTATTCAGTTAATGGAGAGCATTCGTCTCCTCAGAAGGTAACAAACTCAGAGCAGGGAATATTACGTGTGCTGGAATGGCAGTATCTGCAGTTAGGACCGTAGTGCATTAAAATTGGAGTAAACTGATGTCAATGTTCTTCCCCTCAACCTCTCGTTTTTTAACTACAGATACAGTTACCCTTGTGTCCATACTAATCGTAATTTAATGTCTTCTAGCCACTCGAGCTTATATGTGAAAAATCTATAGGTACTTGTAATAGACCTCTGGGCGCTGGGGAAGCATTACGACGAGTGATGGAGTGCTTGGCATCTGGAATTCTGCTTCCTGGTAAGGGGCTGGATTAACTTCAGGAATACGAAAGACTTATCAGGCAGCCCTCACCCTTCTAACAGCATGCTGCTGCTTGCTGTATGATTAGGTGAAAAATGTCTACCTTGTGCTCCCTGCCTGCTGTGGAGCTAAATTAATGACTTCTTGTTTAAAATTGAAAGACAAAAGGAAGGTTGCACAGTCATAACTGCTTGAATGAAGTACTTCCAATGCAGTTAGGAGTTCATAGGGAATCTCAGAATGACCTGGGTTGGGAAGAACCTCAAAGGTCATCAGGTTTCAACCCCCTGCCGTGGGCTGGGTTTCCAAACACTAAATCAGGCACTAGATCAGGTTGCCCAGGACCCCATCCAACCTGGCCATGAACACCTCTAGGGAAATGCTGGGTTTGCTTATAAATAAACTTCTATTTCATTAAGGGGTTACGTATAAATACTGACCTAATGACTGCCTGCTTTCTATTGTTAAACTGAAATCAGCATATGTACTCAAATCATTACTGTTGTTAAACCTCCTACTTCTAGTTCACACAGCTGTACGTATGCATTTATTTTTACAAGGATTAGTACCACGGCCTCCTGCTTCAAGGGTTAGCTTGCTTTCTATGATATTTGAATCCTTTCTTGGAAAAGGAGCGCTGCTGAAGATAGAGACCAGCACATGCAAAATCCAACAGTCACTATTTTCATATTGTTTCATGTTTACTCCCAATAATCTCCTTTTATCTTCCTTCACAGGAGGCCCTGGTCTGCATGACCCCTGTGAACGGGAGCCAACAGATGCTTTGTCTGATATGACAGTTCAGCAAAAAGAAGCCATTACGCACAGTGCTCAGGTACAGAACTCATGCTCAAGAGCTAGATGCTGTAATACTGAAGGTTTCAACTGGTTAATTCAATTTATTCTCTGACAGGGTGGCATATTTTAAAAGCAGTCCCAATGGTTCTTCTAGTGCCCTACAATGAGAAGATGAAATGATATGAGTGCAAGAGTTTAGCAGAGATGAAGTAAATCCTTTAGCAGCCCACTGTGTGCACACCTTCTGCATCCTATCTCAAGTGCTCACAGCCCAGAGTCCTAGAGTAGGCACCCTGTCAATGTGGCCTGCACTTTCTATTATGGAAAAAGAGTTTTAGGTTTTTATAAATAAACATTTTTCTACAGCTGTCATTCCACATGAAGGAAAAGACTGTTTGCAAACTTAGTTAGAAATGTAGACAACTGTGGAAAAAGCAGTGCTGTGATGTAACTTTTATTTCTACTGTCACTTTGTAGCATGCCCTCAGATTATCAGCCTTTGGTCAGATTTATAAGGTTTTGGAAATGGATCCTCTCCCATCAAATAAGTCATTTCAGAAATACTCCTGGTCAGTAGCTGACAAAGAAGGTAAGTATTGTTTGCTTCAAAAGTTACTAATTTGGAAGTAAACTAGGAATTAATGTAGAATGAACAAAACTCCCGAGATACATGCTATGAACGTAAGGCAAAAGCTCTTCTTTATGTTAAATTTCTGTTTGTTTTTGTCTTTTACTTAATTATTTGTTGTTAGGAGAAAGTGTGGAAGTTCTCCAGACTACCAACAGAGTAGTAGCAGTATAGCTAGGGTATGGACAGTTTTCCTTAAGCACAAAGTCATTTTGGGACCTAAAGATAAGTAGTAGTTATGATTCATATCATGGGGAAGAGGAGAATTTAGACTGATGAAAAAGCATATAATGAATGTCCATAACAAGAATTTCATTACATAATATTGGAAACAGACATCTTTCATGGCTTAGTACAATGAGTAATAAGCTCCTGTTGGCCCACATGTACAAATAAGAAAGCTTTGACTGAAGGCTGAGGGTTTTTTTCATAGTTATAAACATGGAAAGAACAGTATGGGACTGCTGTGAATCCTGTTTCAGAATTGCCTTTTTCTAATAGTACATTCATGATACCCTAGGTACAGGCTCATCTGCTCTCAAGAGACCGTTTGAAGATGGTGTTGGGGATGATAAAGATCCAAATAAAAAGATGAAGCGTAATCTGAGGAAAAGTAAGTGAACACTTCTCCATTCTGTTTTCAAAGATACACCATACATAGGAACTGGTGTAAGAGCTTCTCTGTGGTGGAGTGGAATAGTGTGTGAAACAGTCTGTGGAACAAAAAATAGTGTTGCTATTGTCCAGCACTGCAAGTGTTACACAGTTCTCACTGTGTATTTGGATGTCTCCTGACATGTATTAATAACCCAGTCACTTGTGTTTTAAATGGAATAGCCTGTCAGGTCATGGAAAAATTTAGGTTTCCTAAATGAGTAAAGTATTTTATTGATTGCTTCACTCTACTGTTTTTTACCCAGTAATACTGCAGTGTGAAGGTTTGCCTTGTTGCACTCCCTTCTTGAGATAGCTACTGGTCTCTCAATAGCCTCCCACAAGAAAAACATAAAATGCTTCATCTACAAAACATTGACATTGAATTTATGCACAGAATAAAAAGATCTCAGCGTTGAGGATATCTATATCTAGAGGATATCTAAGTACATCTAAAGGATATTTTGATTGTGCTACCACTGGTGCCAGTTCTGTGTCTGGTTCTTCACTGCTTACAAAACTGTTATTATAAAGGCCAGAAAGAATACAGTTAGCTGTAAGAGAGTTGAATTCATTTTAAAATATGGATAATTATAGTTACCCAAACATGAAATAGCTTATTGCAGACATAAATGTTGTGATTACCCTTAATCTTCAAGAGACTGGGAGGTTGTTTTCACCTTTATACCAACAATGCACTTAAATGCAAACTGATACAAACTGTTTCATTTCTTTATTTATCCTGTTAATCTCCCTCCTTTCTTCTCCCCCCACTTAGTACTAGATAGTAAAGCAATAGATCTCATGAATGCTCTGATGAGGCTGAACCAAATCAGGCCGGGGCTTCAGTATAAACTGCTGTCCCAGTCTGGTCCAGTCCATGCCCCAGTCTTCACAATGTCTGTAGATGTTGATGGTACAACATATGAAGCATCAGGACCTTCTAAGAAAACAGCCAAGCTCCACGTGGCAGTGAAGGTAAGGCAGCCTAAAGTAATCAGCTAACCTCAGATCTTGGAACACAGAGCATGGAACATGGTTGTCACAACCAGTAATGCTAGTGAAATAGTTATCTGAGTGAGGGTGAGTTACTACCTATGTACTCAGAACGTGGTTGGGCAATGGGATGAAAAAGCATCACTGATTTTAGAATAGTGGAGAGAACAGTGTGGAAGGAAAAACTCCCATGGCTCTACATGTCAGCTCATGGACTGAATGTGGTATTGAAGTTCTGCATCAGCGGTGGGAGGGGTGTCTGTGTGTCAGTTTTGTTTTACTTCTTGCTCTTGTTGATTAGAAGACAGCATGTTAGTGGCTCCTTCTTAGACCCCTTTCTTCTCCAAATCTCTCCGTTCACAGACAGTTAAACTCCTTGAAACAAGGAGCTGTTTTCTGTCTTCAGTATTGGAATACCTTCACGCACAGTGGTAAACACTATGCACGGTGGTTGGTCTCCAGTCAGTTTTTCAGTAAGAGACTGAAACACAGTCACTGGTTGACTTCTTGTAGGTGCTGCACATTGTCAGAGCTCTTGTATTTTAAACATTAGTAGACTGGAATGCCCAATGTGAGCACTTTACTGCATGACAAGGAGGTAGTTGAGATACTAAAGCAGACCAAGTCTTGGGTTTCTGGAAAAAGGGAAGTTTCTTTCACATGAATTATCTGTAGGAGAACCTCTTAACTGCAATTATGGTAAAAACAAGTGCATCTGTCATTCTGTGCGTTTTTAAGAAGAACTGCATTTTTCAGAAGCTTCATCTGGCAACTTTGTGCTTTCTTTTGACTTCAGTATTGAAAATCCCATTGTCCTTTGTGCTTTCAAGTTCAAAGTGTCCGAAAGTATCTGAGCGAATGTGTTGTTCCTGAGGAAAGGCAGCTCTGCATGTGTGTCCTTCCTGACTTTCTTCCTCATGCCTTTATTTTACCTCACTCCCTGCAGCTGTTTGCAGGGAAGTAAAAGAGAGGGAGTGGGGAAAGGGAGCTAAGGCTTGCTCTGAAGGGCTGTAACTTCTCTACCCTTGAACTTCTCTGTGTTTGACAGATCTTTGCTGGTACCTACCCAGCTCTGTTCCCTATCTCCACACACATATCCTGGGCTGCATTTAAAAACATCCCTGATTCAAGCCAAGGGCAAATGGATGGTGTGGCAGACTAGCTTTCCCTGGCCAGCACCCCACTCTCACTATTCCCTCTACACCCCAGGCAAATCTGGGCCTTGGTTTCCCATACAGAAAAGGGAGCTTACTCTTAACGTTTCAGTTAAGATCTGACCTTTCTGAAAACTGGGAGCCCTGAAAATTCAGCTAAATGTACAGCACAAAGAGACAAAAATTTCTGTTTGTGTTGATTCTGCTTCTGGAAACCTGGGACTATTTTTCCTATAGCTACTCTGCTTTTCTCCATTTCAGTGTGAAAGATACATTTTCTAAGCATTGTGCCTTTACTAAGAGTCTGGTGGCCATTCTTCCTTTGTGATCAGCCTTCTATGTTTGTTTTTGTTTCTGTACTAGTACCTATTTTACAGCCAATTACCTGTATTTTCATTGTAGGTTTTACAAGCAATGGGTTATCCAACTGGTTTTGATGCAGATGTTGAGTGTGTGAGTTCTGATGAAAAATCAGATAACGAAGGTAAAAATGAAACAGTGTCTTCAATCTCAAGCAATAATACTGGAAATTCTACAGCTGACACCTCTGCTACCCTAGAGGTGAGTAGTCCATAGAAAAGTCAAAGTGACGAAGAGATTAGGTGGTTTTTGTTTCTTTCTTTCCTTCCTGGAAGAGGATGACTTATTAATTACAGCAATGGTTGAGAAATTGAAGAATTTCCAGGCTCAGACCTGTCCTGCCATAGGCTGCAGACTGATAATTTGAATTTAAATACAATATTCCTCAAATTACCAGAAATTTTAGCAGTCCTGACTGAACATCTCTGAAATCATGGTGGTATGGGCCTCTAGTATATTAATTTACTTTCAAAGGACAGTTCCTAGCACTAGAACTCTTGATCCTTAAAATTAGAACTTGTGTTTGGAAATTTCTCTCAATCCATCACTCTTTACTCATGAGTGGTCATTTGCACCTGTAGCTGAGTGCACTATAATGCAGGCTCACATGCTGGTGCACTCAGATCTAAACACAACCCTCCTTGCTTCCAGATATATTTGTTTCAACATGTGACCTGTGCTGAAACTTCCTCAGTCAGAGCTCTCAGTAGCACCAGAAAGTAATTAGATCAAGCAGCAGAGAAGTGTGCAAGGTTGTGAAGGCCAGCATCCCCTGTATCAGCATTTGATTTCAAGGAACTTGACACCATGACTTCAGTCCTGGATACCTTGGGGGTTTAAATTCTGAGTGCAGCTGGTGTGATGCTTGGTGATACGTAGATACCAGACTAGGCTCTGAAACCACTAGCTTGCTATCGTGCTAGAAAAGAGAGTTTCTATCTCCTGTTCTAGTGCATCATGTTATCATGGCAGTGTTACCTTTGATACAGGTCTGCTCCTGGAAATTCTGGTGAGACGTGTATTGGGAACAAAATGCTACTGCAAAGGCTTTACAAATTGAAAATGCTGCCAAATGGCTGACCACTTGACACTGTGCTATAATGCTGCAGATATCTGTCCACTGTTTGAGGACATAAGGCTCTAAATCAACCCCATGAATGTCTCTCTAGGTAAGAACTCAGGGTCCTATACTGACAGCAAGTGGCAAAAATCCAGTGATGGAGCTCAATGAAAAAAGAAGAGGTCTGAAGTACGAGCTCATCTCTGAAACAGGGGGAAGCCACGACAAGCGCTTTGTGATGGAGGTGAGCAAAACAGAATTGGAGAGTTGGTAAGCGATTTTACTAACACTGCTTCAGTTCTTGGAGTTGCTTGTTGCAACAGTTTAGATTTGCTTTTATTTTGCTTTTTGTATCTCTTACTGCTCCCCTGACTTGCAGAAGAATCTCTTGTGCTCTAGGAAAACAAAATGAGAATTAAAGCTGAACTTCGAAAGCCCTAAACCATATCATATCTTGAGATAAGTAGGAGAAAAGATCCACAGCCTGGAAAAGAAAATAATCTGATTAGCAAGCATTACAAACATGCTTGGTAACCTTACAGTCCGCATCTTCTGTTGTCATCAGTATCATTTGAAATGACTGGGAGAGATTAAATTTGTTTGTCTTCACCTACTTCTGCTATATTTGAAGTAGCATTGAGCTTTAGAAGAGGTATGAGGTAGCACTTCAGATGAATAGTATGAGTATAGTGTAAGCAAAGATGTTGGTATATGAGGCACTGTTAAAGATGAGGGAGGCGTCAAAATTTGACTCCAAAATCCCATTTCCAAGCAGCATCACTTATTTGTTGAACTTAACGCATATCAGTTAAATTTATTATCAAGTAGATACATTGGTCCTCTTTTACTTCTAGTTGTAGTTTCTAGGTTCCTGATTCAGTGATAACAGTAGTTCATGTGATCACTTCAGTATTCTTTATTATGTTTCAGAAGCAACAGAGTTCTTGTTTTTAACTACTGAAGCTGTCTCATCGCTGACCAGCAGGTATAGCATGATATTCCAAGGGTTTATAACAGACATAAACTCTTATCTCGATTTTCAGGTAGAAGTAGATGGCCAGAAATTCAGAGGTGCAGGCCCAAATAAGAAAGTAGCAAAAGCAAGCGCTGCATTAGCAGCACTTGAGAAACTGTTTTCTGGACCTAATGCAGCAAACAACAAGAAGAAGAAAATTCTTCCCCAGGTAAGAACTGTTGCTTGCTTTGCATTCTGTTACCACAGCTCTGTGTCTTTATGATACAGGAGTCTCTACAGGAAGTAATTTCAGTGTTTTGTCTTACGGGCTCACAGTAAGGCTTTTATTCTTTGATAGTAACTACAGTAGCATAACAACACAGTATGATATTTGGGACCACACAGTACTGACTGCCACTGTGAAATGTTTAAACTGAAAGAAATACAGTAGAAAAGACGGCATAAAGAGGTGGTGATGAGCTGGAGAAAATACAGTAAGTTCAGTGGTTGAGTGATAACATGGAAGTCTACACTTTGTCAGAGCATACTGTGTTCCTCCATCACTTACATACATAGACTTAGAGAATAAATCATGTGTAGTTTTGCAAAGGCATTATTTCTAGTGAGAGGTCTGGAACACAGGCCATACGAGGAGAGGCTGAAGGAGCTGGGAATGTTCAGCCTGGAGAAGAGGAGGCTCAGGGGAGACCTCATTGCTCTCTATAACTTCCTGAAGGGAGGTTGTAGTGAGCTGGGGGTCGGCCTCTGCTCTCGTGTCATCAGTGATAGGAGCAGAGGGAATGGCTTCAAGCTACAGCAGGGGAGATTCAGGCTGGACATGAGGAAGTATTTCTTTTCAGAAAGGGTGGTCAGGCACTGGAATGGATGCCCAGGGAGGTGGTGGAATCACCGACCCTGGGGGTGTTCAAGGAAAGGCTGGATGTTGTGTTGAGGGACGTGGTTTAGTGGGAGCTGTTGGGAATAGGTGAACGGTTGGACTGGGTGATCTTTTAGGTCTTTTCCAACCTTGGTGATTCTACGATTCTATGATTCTAGGTTCTGGAGTAGGCTGAGATTTCTATACAAGACTTTGCAAATGAGATTTCGTTTGGTGAAGAACACTTCTAAAATTTAAGAAAACAAACAAAAAGTAATCTTGGTCTTGTCCATTAGGTTTAACAGCCCCAGTGATCACTCAAGTTTAAGGTTGAACAGAGCAGAAACTATCAAGTGTCTTTCCTACAGAGAACTGCTGACAGAGGAGAAAAAAACAAAAAACCAAACAAACCATGAGGATTACCAACTACCATCTGGGTCTCTTTTGTACAAATATATTAACATTAGGATTTTCTTGTCATTTCAGGAGTAGAATGTATCATAGAATAGACTTAAATGACAAGTCAACTCTTTTTGTCTTCGTTCTATTACTAATCACAATCCTCCTCGTTTTACTAAGACTTTTGGTTAGGAGTATTTCAATTTTCATTACTGTACTGAAAGTTTACAAGATCAGAAAAACACTACCTCATAGGATAATGTTCCACAGACAGGATATGCAGGATTTTACAGTGTTTCTAGAAGACAGCCAAGGGGGCATCTAGTAACACTAAGCTCTGCTCTGATGCAGTAAGCAGTAACAGTTTCTGCAACTCCTTGCAGTATTCTGAGATCTTTTGACAGTGGAAAAGAAAATGCTGATCTAAAGCAGTCTAGTGTTTGTGAGGTGGTGATTTGTCTTTGCAGTGAAGTCCTGACCCTGCTGAAGATACATGGATTCAGGGTGGTAGGAGAAAAGCAAAGGCCTTTTTGTGAATCAGCAAGAGGCAGTTTGTAGGGAAAGACAGCAGAGAGGCATACCAAAGAAAGGTGCAGAAACGACTGGGGTAGGTCAAGACCACACAACCAGAACTCTGGAAAATGAAACACAGCCTGATCGTGCTGACTACAAGGTCTGAGTAAGGTGAACACGATCCTGATTTAGAACAAGAATGTGTTTGCTGAAGGGACTCAGTTTCTGTCAGTCATTCTTTTGACATAACTTTTCCATTCTGTACTCTGCCTTAAGCAAGGACAGTGCATCATGCATGGTTAAAGACATTCAGGAAAGATAGTGATTTAATGTAGATGGTCCTGTATTTCCAGCAACGTTTAACATTCTGAATTGGTATTATTATTACTCCAAGCAGGCTAAAGGAGTTGTCAATACAGCTGTTTCTGCAGCAGTCCAGGCTGTGCGAGGTAGAGGACGAGGTGCTTTAACAAGAGGTGCATTTGTTGGGGCAGCTGCTGCTACTGGATACTTAACACCAGGTAAGGCATGGCACTCAATTCTGCCTGCTGGTGTCTTCCATTCTGTGTGTTAGTCACCTATTCAGCTTCAGTCATCTGAGATAAAGCAAAAGAGAGAATTCTTGGGGTTTTAAATAAATCAGAGCTCCAAAACTTCACAAGTCTGCAACCTGGAACTCCATGTACACAGAGTAAGAGAAAACAGCTATCCCCACAATAGCTTTCTGGGCTTTATTCTGTTGGTTTTTTTTCCGTAGTTCTCTGCTATGCCACAATTCCCAAAGCTTTTTTCCTAAGTAAGGAATCTCTTGGACATGGACCTTTAGCATTATCAGTGGTCCTCTTAAGAACTTCTTGCAGGGATAAATCTGGCACGATTAGGAGTCACTCTGATCCCAGAAGTTGTCCATAGAAATCTGGCATACAAGCACAGCATCTAGCATTACCTTCTGTAGTGATTAAAAAATAATTAAAAGAATTTCCATTTGTACTCTGGCTGATGTTAATTTATCATCTTGGTTGTACTGTTCTGGTTAGCGGTGAGCACTGGATCTTTTGGAATGTAGAGGCCTCGTAGTTCACATCTGTGTGTCATACTGTATATAGAGAAACTGAGTTGTTAATCAGGTTACCTTACTGCTGATTCTTCAGGGCAGATTTGCAACCATCAGAAGCAAAATTGTTTAAGCTGGAAAGGTTAGGTGCTCAGCTACTAGACTCACTGGACCCATCTAATATAGTGACGGATGGTTGGTTGTTTGTTTAACCAGCAGATTGCAAGTAGGTTTGAAAGACACGCAGTGTAAAGTGTTACAGAACTGCAAGAAAATTTTAATATTCACTTTCTCCTTTTCAGATTACAGCATGAGTTCTAATTTCAGCTATTCACACAAACCAATAGCAAAGCCCTGTTGTTTGGTAGACCTCCTTCTTGGCACAGTAGAACGCAGTAAAACAGCATGATGTCTTCATTGTTCCTGCATGTTGATGTAATCATAAATATTAAAAAAACAGTAATTCATTTTTAATGGCTGTTAACATTGGTTTTGGAACTGTCTTTCTGCCTGAGGAGTCATTTATGAGACACTTGAACCTGTCAGGGGCATGTTCTTTGCCAGCATGGAATTACTCCAGGAATAGGTTTAATTTCCCAGTCATTGCAGTTTTAAGCTTTTATTGGTCTTGGCCGACACACAGTATTTCTCTTCATCCTCTTCTCAGAAATCTGTTGCTTTTTGTGATGGACAAGTAATCCCACCAGATAAAGCAGGTGAGGGACACAGCCTGTAAAGCCTCAATTATTGAGTTGTTGTTATAAGATTGGTGTTATGCACTGTTTCTGTATCTCACTCCACAGTAACGCCTACCTCTTTGGAAAAAGGTTCCTGTTCTGTTTGCATCTAGATGTTCAGATGTTCTTTCTGAAACTTTCTTTTGGCTGTCAAGTATCAGAAAGTGCTGAATTCACATAGGAACTTCACTGATAATGACACGGCATCTGCCACAGGCATCTTGCACTACCTTCCTTCTTGTGGAAGTTGAAGAAAAGCTATGTACCAGAAAGGGTACATGTGTTTTGGTGTGCAAATACCAACTGTCTGCAGTAACCAGGGGAAATGAAATGCATCCCTCATCTGTTTGTATTGCAGGCTATGGAGCACCATATGGGTACAGTACAGCTGCACCAGCTTACGGTACGTACAGCCCAGTAATTAACAAATTAGAAAATACACAGAAATTCTTGTGCCAGTCCAAATGTGGCAGTCCAAGCTGGCTTAGAGTTTACAGTAGAAATTTAAGAGATTAAAGCTCTTAAACTGTGACTACAAGAACACTTCTATGCCATAACCTTGTGGTTCTTTTTTGGTTGGAGTAGTTTTTTTGCCTATGCTTTGCCTGATCTTGTGGAAGGACTGCTTGTTCTAATTGCCTGTTCCCTCTCATACTGAAACTGAAGTAGTTTTCTTACTTTTTACAGCCAATCTGTGCTCCATTCAAAGACTACCGAAGGGCCTATGTCAGCATCTCTGAGCAATATTTATCTAAGTGACATTAAAATCATTGGCAAAATATTTGTCTACAAGTTTAACTGGCTTGTGGACTAAGCTCCCTTACTATAGGCAACTCCATGAAATATCCAGTACAGTCTGTGTGCATACACAAGCCAATCCCCAACAAGCACACCCCCTTGCTGCAGGCTAAAACCACTGCTACTTGGGACAAACAGAATGATTCTGTGTAGCTTATACTGTGATTAGGCTGCAAGGATGGTAGTATATGGTCATTTGCCACAATGGTTTTTACTAAGACATGCAGTAAAATCAGGCTGGTAAAGGATTGGTTTCATGAAGACAGTAAAATAAACTAAAATTTAGCAATGATGGGAAAGGTTTTTCTTACTTCAACTTCTCCCTACTCACCTGTGTTTGTTTTTTTTTTTTTTAATGCTAGACTAACATAGCAGATTTATCTCTATCTGGCCCTTTTGGTTACTTTGAATGAGGTTTATGTGGTAATGGGAGCAAAGGAGTTTGGAGTCAGTGATATGTCCTGGCACACAAAAAAACAAACCCTGCATCTACTAGAACTGGTACCAGTGTCCTCACTTGTCACAGAGCAGGAGGGAAATCCTGCTACTCAGATGACAAGCTGGGTACATTTCAAGGTCTGCAGTTTTTTTTTCACATGGAAAACCACACTTGCATTCCTATTTCCTAGCTTTTGTCATATTTATAATAGTTGTTCCTTTCCAATTTGTATAGCTTGGAAAATACCAACTCCCCAGATAGCATTGTAAAAGTTAGAAACAGTTTCAAATATTTATTTCATCACTTCCTTTTAGAGGTATGAGCTATAAGCATTGGAAAAATGGTGCTGCTTTATTGAAAATATTCACTTTGCTTGACTAAGACTGGCTGGTCCTATTCTATACTTCTACAGTGGAAAGGGGAAGTACAGTGGACAGTGGGCTGCACTTACAAGTGTGGAATTCTCCCTTGTAAATTCAAGTAAACCTCTCTAGCTCTGCAAATCCTGTCTCACTGACTGGCCAAGTGCTTTGAAAAATGGCAGCTGACAGCTGTGCTTTCCTATTGGTATGTTCTGTACACTGACCTTTTTTTCATGTTTTTTCAAGGAAAATAAAAGGGAATTAAGTTTATAGCTTATTTCATGGCATGCATTTAAAAAAAGAATCCCTTTACTTCTTTCCAACCTGTAGTGACTGGCTATAGCCTACATCACTAGATACCTGCCCATATGTATTTTTACAAGCCAGAGCATATAGTGACATAACACAAATCCTTTCCCAGCTGAAGACAGAACTGTTACCAATGTTCTGCAGTGACTTTCACTTGCGGCTTCTTATATTCCTTTCTTCGTTCCTTCTGTTTCATGTTTTTCTCATGATGCTTATTTTGGGAGCTGGATTTAATCCCTTATTTGTGTATATGTGACATATCACTGACTTCAAAGCGTTGTGGAATTGGATGCCCCCATTTTTCACATAAAGAGTTTCTGTTTTTAATGTCTGATGACTGTGATGCAAAGTACTGGGATAATGCTTTTTGGCTGTAAGGTAAACGTCTCTCTGCCTTTGTAAGCTGTTGCATGTTGGGAAACTTCACTTTGATCATTTGATGCTCTGGAATACCTGCTGTTGCTGCTTTGTGATTTCTAAATGGATACGTAGGTTAAAAACTAGTATATAAATAGGAAAGAATATTTTTGAAAAGCATTTAATTGTGCAGAAGCTTGTGAGGCCACAAGAACTCTATAATAATCATGAAATCAGGCATATATTAATCTTTCCAGACTTGCAACTTCAATACAGGATAGCAAATGCAAAACAAAGAAGATACAGAATTTACTGTAGGTGCTTGATTTCTGACTGATCTACACAGATGCTTATCAGAACTGCAGTTTCCCTGTGAATTTTCTTCTATGCATAGCAGTTCCTGTCTAGAATATCTGCAGCTGCAACTGGGCTATGAAGTTAGAAAACAGAATGAGGTAGTAGAGATGAAGCTATTTCAAAATGAGAGTTAAAATTCAATCTCTTTTCAACAAAACACATTCTCTTTTGAGAATACTGCTTAATTTTACAAAATACAGGGACAAAAATAAAAGCAAACTTAATGCTAACCATCTGTTTGAAATAGCACAAAGTGTTGAAATGTTACTGTTTGAGACTCTGCACCCTAAAATGACATTGATTGATTTGGAAAAAGGTTAATGCAAACATGATTATAAGCTCTTATCTGACTTTCTTGGATCACTGAACTTATTTGGAGTCCTCTCCCTTTTTTCTCTCTGTAGGTTTACCCAAGAGAATGGTTCTGTTACCAGTTATGAAATTCCCAACTTATCCTGTTCCCCACTACTCATTCTTTTAGCAAATGGCAGAAGCTAATTCCTATTGATTGAACAACACAGTACAGTACAGAATGTTAGAAGAAAAAAGCCTTTTTATCCTGTTTCCTTTGAACACATACTTGAGCAAAGTCATTTGTAAAGAAACATCTTTTTCCTACTTTTTGATTTTAACAAAATGCAAATTTAGTTCTCTAAAACTTGAAAAAAAATGTTCTGTGAAATGTTACCTCATTTTCAAATAACTTATACCAGCCTTCTGTTATAGGGAAGAACTAGAAGCTTAAACCTTACGTTTTAAATGAAGTATCCAATTATGTAAAATTAAATTTGTGAAGGATGTATAGAATATAAAACACTGATCACAAATAAACTGTTTTGTTGTAACACAAGAGTACTGCCTGTTTCCTAATGCAGTCGCACAGATTCAGTTAATGACCTGTACTTGTTGTAGGGTTACTTAAAGTCTTAAAGTAGGGCGTAGTTCTTTAAAAAATAATAATAAATTAAAAAAAACCAACAACCACACAACAGAAACTTCACAGTTAAAATACAAGTTTGTAAATATTATGGTCTGTAATAAACTTAGTAAAATACGGGTTAGATATTGTTTTATTTTATAGAGCTAAGCATCAGTACCTGAGTTTCCTTAGGACCTTTAAAGTCAGCATACTGAAATTCTCAGTGACTTCAGTCTTAATTATCCAAGATTTTTCATTTGTACACAGAATACTGAAAAACAAACAAAGGGAATTAATGTTAGACTGTCTCTTTGTGTTAGGTTACATTCTGTGAAAAACAACAATGGAATTTCCCACAAAAGGACTCATTATGTAATTACAGCTATACACAATTAAGTCCGTATTGCCCAGAGAAAGGACAACGATAACATTACAGTCAGATTCTTTAGAACTCAAAAACTGCTTGTTTTCCTTTCGTTTTTTACAAAAAAAAAAAAAGAAAAAAAAAGAAAAAAATGCAATTGTTCTTGTGGCCTTCTTCACTCTTAAGATTGTCTGCCCACCCTTGATTTTCCATTCACTATTTTTTCAGTAAGGGTTTTATTTGTTAATTTCTTATGAAAACAAAAGGTTCTCCTTTTTCCCCTTACATTTACAAGAATCTAAAGCAGCAACAAGGTCCCCATGAAAACTTGCTATTTAATTGTCCCAGTTCTTGTTGAGTGCTGCTGTGGAAAGTGACACACTTCAGCCATAGGCCAGTACTTTTCTTAAGTTAGTGCTCAAACCAAATGAATTCTTTTCAGATTAAGGAGCGTGCACACCTGTCCTGGGATCCCAGACAGGTCCCAGCTCCACGCTGTCTCCATGTATTTTAGAATTATGCACAAAACCTGCTGTAGGCTTCAAGCAGTCTTTATTAAGGTATCACCCCCACAAAATAAGCAGCACTGTGGTTGTACTTCTCAGACCTCACCAGTTGTTCTTCCAGAGGTTTGCTTTAGGTCATGCTCTTTTCAAGACTGTCTTATGCACTGCTCCCCAACAGACTTCGCTGTTGAGGCAGAGGGGTGCTTTATTTATGAAGAGGATCTAAGAACTGCTTAAAGCAATGTAAAGTTCCTCCTTTTCTCCATCCCCTCCATTACAGGGAAAGAAATTACACATCAGCTTAATAAGGGGTGGCTTATATAACAAGCTGCTCTTAGAATTAACTGCAGCTTTGAAGCTAAGTATTTGTGCTTAGAAATATTTCTATCTTTAAATGGTTTTTCTTCTGCTGTAGCTCTCACTTTTGTTTGGTGCTGGTGGTACTTTAATAAAAAATGAAGATCTACTGACAAGCAGCGATGAACCTGCTGTTGTCATACGCGCATTAGTGTTGAAATAAAGAGCAGGGTCTGGAGGATGTAACCAAATTGAGTGGTGCTCATAAATCACCAACACATTTTGCTGGCCTATGGATGAAAGGAAGCCATCACGGAGCAGAAAAAGCATGGCTGATAAGAGCCCATTTTTGTTAATCAAATATTCATTAAAGGAATATTTCCTCTGCACACGTTTTTCTCCTTTCCCTCCTGCCCCTCCTCCCCCCGGCCCGTTTTGGAGTTCCCAATTGGCAACTGTTTTCTTTTTCAATAATCCCCAGATTTGTAAAATTTTCTAACAAAATAATGTCTGAACCAATTGTATACAATAAACATTTGTATACCAAAGAACTTGTTCCTTATTTCAAAACAAGGAGGGCGCTATGCTCTTTTCCAACATGATGGCAGTCATTTCAGACAATTGATAAAAGTCTTTTTTTTTTTTGTCATTTGTTGGGAGTTACTAACCACATTGTAAACTTGCCCCCCCTTGCTGCATATTTTACATTTCTCTGCTTTACTGGAAATATGAATGAGCTGTCAGTTCTTTGTTTAGAAAGTGGTAACCTTGGACAGTGTTAGATGTTTCAATACCTTCACAGAATTCAAAGTGCCCATTTTACAATGAAAATTCCACTTGCAGCTGAAAGAGCAGAGAAATTTAAATGGAGCTTTAGCTTCAGCCACTCTCTGAAATTAACATGAAGTTTTGCTTCTCTGCTCTTTTCCCACTGTAGGTGGTTTTTTCATTGACAGTCCCTATTGCCAGCCTCTCAGCATCGCACCTTTTATTATTCACTTGGGCCCTCAAGATTTCTTCTCTGACTTCTAGAACCATCAGGTTGTGTGGCTCGAAATGGCATTTTGTACATGTCTTAAAAGCAAGAACAAAAGTGGCTCGTTTTGAGGTTTCTCAACTTCAGACATGGAATCTGAATTTTTCCTTTTTTTTTTTCCTTCCAAAGTGCTTTTCTCACTTCTTGAACTTTGTTCCATTTAATGAAAAGCAATACTCCAAGCCACAGTCCTTTCTTTGGGTACATAGCAATAGATGTGTATATACTTCTGGTTATTTTCTTTACATTAGGAGAGAAAGATTGGTCTAGAAGGGGTGGGCTTAAGGGGGAGGGAAAAACAAAACAAGACCCAGCAGGGCGCTCGCTTCAAGCAGTGAATCCTGCACTGACTTTCCATACTTCAGTATTTTAGAATTTTAATACTATGGTTATTTGCATGTTTCCTATACAAATTGCTACAAAGACTTACAGTGGTCAATTCTGAAGCAGTAGTGCTTTGTACCATTGTACATGTCAGCACACATGAAATGTAGCAAAAAGCCAGGAAAATGTAGTATATTTTTCTCCAAAATATAACTAAAAGTTATTCTTTCTCTCTCTCTCTCTCTCTTTCTTTACCACATCATTAATGTGAGGCACAAAAAGGGTAGGCCTGAACTTGACTTTGAAATAGTTGCTTTTGTGTCTCTGAAAATTATCACCAAATGATAGGAAAATGTAGTATCTGGTCAATCTCCAGATCAGGATCTTTGCTGCTATTATTTACTAGTTGGGTTTTTTCCTTCTAAGTATTTGTTTATTGATACTCTAAGATTGTGAATCAGTAATCAGCAATAACTGAAAGGTAAATGTCTTTGCTTATGTAAATGGTATTGGAACATCTATATATTGCAGTTAAGACTTTTGAGCAGCTTTCAGCAGGTTAATACCACTTTATTCTCATTCTCTCCGGACCTTCATAGCCATATGCACTTGTATAAAATAAGCAGAAATTTAATGACTGTAAGCTGAGATCGTGATATAAAAGGTAAGAGATTTTATTTTCAGCTTAAAAAGTATTTTTACTGCTTTTTTTTCCTAGAAACCTCACTTACCTGTGAAAGTCTTGTATATGGTACGTTTTTTATTATTTAACTCTGTGTTTAAACAAGTAATACTTAGGTCTGAATTCCAACTTTTTACGTTGTCAAGGCCAGTTCAAATATTCTGCTTTGAGTTTAATGAGAAAATATTACTTAATGCACGTAAGAAATAGTTTGGTTTTATCAGCAGACTGTTGTACTTCACATATCCTTTTGCACAGCCTAGAAAGCTGTCCTGACAGTGCTGTGTGCGAGGCACTGCATTCCTTGCATACTTGCTGAAAACATTCGGGTAGGTACTGAAGCCACAGCCTGCGCTGAAAGCCACACCAAGGTGACAGGGATGTGAAATAAAAATGCCAGGTGGAATATGAACGCTATCTAACTTGTAAGAGAAATTATCTCCCTGAACTACTAAAGCTGAACTCCAAATGAAGAATGAAGAAGTTTGATATTTATTACAGTTTAAAGCTGCAGAGATCAGATTGCACTAGGCCAAGTTAATTCACAAAGCAGCCGATCTGCTTTCCTCTAGTGGGCACAGCAGGAGATGGGAAGGCAGGCAGGCAGGGTTTAAGCCTGCATGAATAAATTGTTCAGCTGTAGTTTTCTAAAGATAGAAATGAAAATAGAGACATCCATAAATATTTTCAGTGCTGAAGTAGATGTTTTAACTAATGTTTTACACAGGGGAAAATGGTTTCCGACTTATATGGTGCACATGATACGTGTAGTTTTAAAATAGTTACTTTTTTAATTTGCATTTATATAACCTTACATTATGCAAAGTTGCATAGTACAGTGCTGCTCAGCTGCAATACTTGCAGCACTTGAAGTTGCTGGAAACAACTGTTTTTATATTAAAAAAAAAGGGGGGGGGGCGGGGAGTGGGGGGAGTGGGGTGATGTATTAACATTTTAGGGTCTCATTTCAGAGATGAAAGCATTAAATAGCCCTGACTGATCACAGTTCATACTGGTACAAAATCAGAAAAATACTTGGCATGAAATATGTAGTAGTAAATCAGACCCAAAGCTTGTTATTTTGCATCAAAATATAATGCCAAAAACAAACTGTATTTCATTTCAAAATTGAAAACATCAAACTCGGTAAATAACTGCATATGTAGGTTCTCCATAATCGAGGATATGTCTGGGTAAAATTCATAGGCTGATGTAGAAAAATAGCTGTCAAATTTTGTTAGTTTAGCTAATGTTGGTGGAAACTTGACCTTGCAAGTGGCCTATGTGCTTGCACTGGAGGAAATGAACTTAAGGAACTTTACCATGACTTGCCTGTTAAAGCACACAGCCATTTGATTACATTTGCAGGTGCAACTGATGAGCCATCAGGATGTGCTTCCTATTTGGTGGTGCAGATTTTCATCTTCTGTTACCTTCAAGGTGCAAACGCAGGGCTTGGTCTGAAGCTCATTTAAAATTCAGTTCATTCTTTCAGCTTGTCAGGCTAAGCAATCCTGATCGTGGAGCAGCAGGCTGCTCTGCTTCCTCTGGTATTGTATATGCTTCAAGGCAATGTTATGGTGCATTATAATGAACTTCTCTTGAGTATTCCTTTCCTAGGTTTAAATCAGAATGCTTACAGTCTGACAAGCAGTCATCTGTCCAGTTCAAGAACTGAATAATGAGATGTCTTGCTAACTACTTTGATCTCTCTTTTGTGGCCTGTATTTGGCAGCTTCATTTCTGTGCATCGCTTTCCATCAGCATTGTTTTGCCTGTGAACATCCACATTTTTCTGTCATTACTGCTTTACCCTAAGCATTCTGCCCTTACTACTTTGCTTGGAATCTTCACTTTCTTGGATCTTCTCCTTTTGTTCACTGAAAAGATACTGAATTTCTTTGGTATGTTTTTGCTCATAAAGCTGTAGATACCTCCAAAATTTGTCCTCATGGCTTTGCTGCACCCTTTCTCAGTAGGATGGATGACATTTCCTGATGTTGAAATACATACTGCACTCTTACATCTGTTTGTTTTTTTTAAGCCATTTGAAATGGCTGGTAAGACAGCCCAGGAACCTCAGCTATTGATGGTGGAACTTGAGCAAAACATTCATGTGCTGAAGTGTCACTCGTGAGTTCCAAACATGCCTACTGCATGAGCATTTGAGAGAATAGTTATGGACTAAATTCTAAGAGTAACTTTTAACTTAACTGAAATGCCAGGCTATTATTTGATGAGTAAACTGGATAACAGCTGCTCGATCGATTTTGTAACAACCACTGTTACTCCAAGGCAGAAATAGAATCTGCTTTCTTTTGCATAAATACTTGCTCATTGCCTTTTTAAAAGACATCTCACGGGAGCATGTTTGAAGTGCCTTTTCTGTGAGCCTGAGGTCTGCTATTTGATGGTTACTGAGCTGTGTCTTTCTAGATACACCCAGCAGTAAAATGTGGAAACTGGTTCCATGTGCTCTGTGTAGCTGCTATCTTTGTCAATTTGTAGGAACGTGTCTGTGAAGCAAAAAATGTTATAGTTTGAAATTCTGATTCATGAAAAAAAAAAGAATTCTGAAAAGTACCTTTCAACTCCTACATATCAATAGGACATTTGGGAAAGATCCATTCACTTCCCACCTTAACTCTAGTTTTAGCTAACCAGATGCTAACAGTGTGTATTTTGGGAGATGATGTCTGGCACTCAAAGGATTAAAAGAAACCAGAACTTTACAATGAAAAACTGGCCTGTGCAGTCTGGATTGGAGCATTTACAGCATTATAAGGAGCATAAGCAGCATTTACACTGACTTCAGAAGAATAATGTGAGCTTGAGTGGCCTGGTTGGTTGACACTGAGAGAAGTAAAGCTATTTACAGAATTGAGAGATTAAAATGCAGACTCTTCCATTGTTAAAATTTATTTGCCTTTAGCTGCTCTTGAGTACAAACCTGTAATCATGCAGGTACTTACTTTGCCTTTATAACAATTTGGATTTCATGGAGCTGCATGAGAGAGAAGAGTATAACCAGCCTGCTGAGTTACCCATGCATGACAGCAGTCTTCACCTATGAAAATCCCTAGATCCTGTACACTGCTAACCATTCTTCACCATTTTCCTTCCTAATGAGTGAGTGGCAGCTGGAACGCTTGTCAATTTACCCAGATATGAAACTCTGTATTTTGAAGGAATTATATATTTTTTGCAAGGAAACTTAAATCCTGCTTTGCCAGCCATGTCAGATTTCTACAGGCATTTTCTGTCTGGAGATGGCTTTCAAACTGGAATGACTGGGAAGTGCACTGCCATCTTGAGCAAGTGTTTTACCTGTACATCATACAAACACTATATCAAAATCTGCATAAACCTTTTGAGATCTATTCCATCACCATCCTGTGCTTGAAAGCTTGTACGTTACAGAACCAGAACTGAGTAACAGTGAAAGCACTTGGCCAGGTGAAAGCATGGTGCACGATGCTTCCTGCCACCATGTCCTCCCTCTGCCAGGGCTTGCTGACTTCCTTAAGCGCACATTCAGGAGTTGGACCACAGTGACCTTATTCCTGGGCACTGAGCCACACAGATGGAGGGAGGCCAGCCTCTACCCATGAAGAGTCTGTGTAATGTGCAGCCTCTGTTGCCCAAGCAGTTTCTGTTGGACACTGTACACAGTCCAACTCTCACAACGACAATTTAGTGCCTGGGTAGGTGGTTCCTGATCTGTCTAATTTGTTGTCATGTAGCCAATGTGAGTTAATAAAATGATTCAGCAATTGTCATGGATCCTGCTGAATGTGTCATGGATCTGCTGACCCTGCTGCCATAACTTTCATTGCACTTACTTAAATACCCTTGCTACTGTTTTTTGTGCCTACCTCTTCCAAATTTCCTTCTAACATCCCTGTAAATAACTGATTCTTGTCTGTATATGTTTCTAGATTCTTGAATGCTTTTAATTGGCATACAAAGAGTTCCAGGGAAGCAAGTTTTCCTAGAAAGTCATCCATTTGCTGAGGGACTATTTCTACTCATGCAAACATCTGTGACAACTATTCTAATATCTTTGATCTTTCTTTAATAACACTTGCCTTCTGGCAGGAAAAAAGATTTAAAGTGCATCTTATCCAATTCCAAAATTATTTGTGTGTTTTTCCTTTAATTGGACTGCGAAGCAAAACTTCCCCACCCTGAGTTTCTTGTGTTACCAGGTAGAAAGAGGAGTGGCATGGAAACTTTACAGGTGGCCTGGGGAAGAGATCTCCAGGCTGGAGGTGTTCAACTGTGGGACATCAATCCCCTGCAATTCAAAAACTCATAAACGCAAGCAGCTTTAGTGTGCCATCCTTGATCCAGTCCAGCCATGTCCTCAGAAAACCAGTCTGTATGCCTCGGTATTTTCAGTCAGCGATCTCTGACAGAAATAGCATAGAAACACACTGTCCTTGCTTCCTTTATACTTCTGCATTTGTACTTTAAGAACCAGTGGATCATCACAGTCTAGTGGAGATCCCTGAACTTATAAACAAATAGCAAACAGCACTTCAGTCTTAGACAAGATTCTAAGTTTCTCTTTGCCTCCTTTGCTCCACAGGCTAACATGCAATAATTGTGCATTATTACTTAGTGCATTTAGCTAAATTCTCTTTAGACAGATGCATTTTAATTAATAAAGAGAAAAAACTTCCTCCCACCCTCAAGTGAGTTCCAAATCACAGAAGCAGCTCACAGAAAAGGCTTCTACTTCCTCAGGCTCTGTGAAACAGCATAGGAACTCTACAAGGATTGGATTCTTTTGGATACATGACGAGATATGTTCTGAATGAGTTATGTTCAGATTGCTGTTCTCAGCTGGAAAGCAGACCGGTACCCTTCATTTGCCAAAAAAAAAAAAAAAAAAGAAAATAAGCTCTCTGCTGGATTCACTGAGAAATTCCATTCAGTGCAGCTGTACTGTGTGAAGAAGCAGTAACTGAATGTTTGGGACACAAACCCTTGCAAGCTTCCTGTTGGGGAAAAACAAAAAAAAAGGAAAAAAAACAGTACTGAAAAATGAGATACTTTACTGACTTGTTCAAAGTGAAGCAAAGGTGTATCACAGTTGCATGCACTATCTACAGTACGAGACAGTCTGTCTAACAACTCACTGGTTTCACTGCTCTGTTTTAACAGATCTGATTTGCTGTTAAACTGATCCTTACTGTAAGGCAGAAATTCTGTTAAAGTCATTTTAGAGGATTCACTGAAGAAACTCAGTACCCAGTGCTTATGGGTTATGAAGCAGCTTTCATTCATATTTTCTTTAGAATGTTAACCATTTAAACTAGTAATTGTTTGACATTAAGAGAATTCTCATCATAAAGCTGATTATAAAGCTGGAAGAAATTCTTTACTGGGAGGGTGGTGAGACACTGGAACAGGTTGCCTAGTGAGGCTGTGGATGCCCCCAGAGGATCCACAGGGATCCCTAGGAGGTGTTCCTGTCTATGGCAGGGGGATGGAACTACATGATCTTAACATGATCTTCTAAACCAAACCATTCTGTGATTTGTTTCTCAGCCCCGTAATTATGTCTCTTTAGCTTAATAATTTGTCGTCTAAATCCATGCCTATTTATGTGCAGGCTCTTTAGTACCCTGAAATACCTTGCCGTTTCCCACTGTACTCACAGAAATGGTAGTGATTCATCTGTTGTGTGCAAGTGGTAAGCCAGGTAACAGGTAATACAGAAACATGATGGGACGCACACAGCCTTGCGCCTGCAGACTGGGGTTTTTCAGAAGAGGGTGTTCTTTCTGCTAGACCTAGCTGACACCACACAGGCATTTGAATGCCTTAGCAAAAGTTGTTCTGAGTTTTGTGAGAGAAAAATTCACTTCAGTGTAAGATTCAATTCAGTGTTTTGTCTCCAGTTCATGTGGCTAAATGAAACATTCAGGCCAAATACTTACCTTGACGCTTAAGAGGAGCTGAATGATCCGAAGTGGTAAGTGAAGATGTGCAGCTCAAAAGCAAATTTCTTATTTTGTATGTTGTTTTGTTATGTATTTGGTGCCTTAACTCTTTGTACTCTACTGTTAAATATGCTGTACAAGAGGTAGTTTAGTGGTTAAGGGAACTTTAATGATGTTACTGAACTAGCCTACAGGAACTGTAGCAACAACTGAAGTTTCAGTGGGAGAGTTCTCTTGCATGTTTAATTAATAATCCATTGATAAATTGGAGCTGAAGAATTTAAAGAGCATATAAAAATGTTAGCCATAGATTGAGACAGAAGGTATCCAATTTCCAACTTGAAAGTTTTGTGGCAGGAAGATAAAGGTACAATCTCTTCTGTGCTGTGTAAACAAAAATGAAAATGTAATTCAGCTGCCCAGCACTGCATGTTTCTCAAAATCTCTAGACTCTGATCTCTACTATGACAAATCACACTAATTCTAAAGGACATTAATTGAATGTAATCATCCACTGGAACAGGGGAGCCGAGATGAGTTAAGAGTTGCAATAAATTAAAAAGTAAGTCCAAAATAGCATATGGACTTAATGCCTAATTCCTGCCTCTTACCTGAATCTAGAAGTTCCAGTTACCATAAGCCACTTTGCAGTTTACAAGGTGCAGTGCAGCTTCTACTTGAACACGTTTGCTTGCTGAACACACCTGGTCCTGATAGAATGCACTGAGAGAGAGAGAGAGAAGGAAAAAATGAAGGTAGAACGTTCCAGTTTGAGGACATTAAGTATAACAGACAGCAAGTTGGTGGAAAGATGAACTGCCTTTTCCAAAGCCATAAATACCAGTCTACAGTAAAAAAAGGAGGTTTGTCTACTATGGTAAATCAGCAGCCTTAATAAACAAAGAGCAATGGGAGGCAGTATTGGGTTTTTTTCCTATAGTTTGCAAGAAATTAGGTAAGAGGCTTAAGCTACCCATGTCACAAGCTAAAAGCTGCTGCAGCAGACTATATTTTTTTTCCACTTCTGTAAATAAGCAGGTAATGAAAAGAGGATGTGGAGAAACAGGAGAAATCCAGTGAACAAATTCTATTTGCCAATGGAACCCAATCCAGATGGGGAGACTGTTCCATGCAGTACACTAGTATGGGAATCCTAGCAACTTATTTGTACAATATTCTAGACAATTTGCTCTTGCACAGAACAGAATGGTAACAAAGGAAAGCAGATACTGCTTCCAGAACTACAGTTGTAATGTATGAATTTCAGATCACTAATACTGGTATAACTATGACAAAGTAGGTTCATCTTACCATGAAAGCTGTTTTGAAACTCTGTCCACTTACATTAAGCTAACAGCAAGTTTAATTATAACACTAATCTGTAAGGGAGTAGAGCAGAAGGTAAGTTTTACCTTGGCGCTTCAAAGCTGCTGTGAATAAGTTGATTAATAGTGTTCTATGGAAATAACTAGATGTACTTATTTATTTGTGCTCGTTTCTATGTTCTTAGAAAAGCACAAGCTTCTGTAAGCATAACCATCACAAAGCTACTCAGGGTACTTTGTCATCTCAGCAGTGGACACTAACTGCATCTTAAGTCAGCAGGCACAAATAGATCAAACTTAATTAAGAGGAACAGAGCATCTTGGCAGGTTTGCTTTACTACTGGTACTGTTATAATTTAATGATCTATGCATACAGAAATGTGTGTATTCCTGCACTTCTCGTATAACTTACAGTTCTGCAAGAGCATCCTGCAAACTGAACAAGTAAAACTCAGCACAGAGTATTATTCTTTCATTATTCCCACAAAGGGCTGTTTATAAGCAATTGCAGAGTGATAATGCTCGAAGCAGAATAGCTGTGGGCTGCAGAACATTGATATTCAGAGTAGTACAGCTTTCAGAAATTTAGTGATATGAATTATGAAACTTCTAATTCACTGTATAGATTATTTCTTGTGTTTTCAAACTAGCATCGCTAGTTCCCTGCTCAAAGTAATGGGATAAAGTCAAGTGTAGTTCTCCAACAACACATAATTACACAGAAATGTACTGGAACAAAATTGAGCTTATACTGCTGAGAGCATGTTCTACTATACAGAGCCATTCTCTGGGCAATGCTGCATCATTTAAGAGTGGGTAAATATGCCTTCAGGGCCAACAGAACACACAACAGATGTTTAAAAAATAACAACCCAGAAGAAGCCTTGAAGTTTTGTCCGCTCGTGCACTTATTCTTCCCTGAAAAAAGGTACAGGTACATTCAGACGTGTGAGTTATGTATCAGATATCACAAAAGCCTTTAAGGATGAATGTTTTAAAGGCAGTCTCCTTTGGACAGAAAATAAAGGAAGTTGTCTCTGTCTTCCAATTCCAAAGTACAGCATCTTATTTCTGATCCTAACCCTAAATCAATATTTATTGATCAAACTGACTAAGCTTTTTAGGTTGATGAGCTCTCTACAAAGCAATTCTGTTCTCCTCTTGAGCCTCTGCAGGGGCCAACGACTGGTGCTTAACTACTACTTCTACTGCAGAATGTCACCTGTCCTCCAGCTGTCTCAGAACCTTGTGTGACACTTGCACTTCTAAGAGAGCAACACTGCTGTGGGGGTAATTCTCAAAAGTGCTACATGCAGTGGAGCAAATCTCCGTGGGCTGCACACTTTCTAAAGTCCTGCCCAGGTCTTAGTGGCAAAGTTGAGCATGAAACCTGTACTGCCAAAAATATGTGGTATCTATGGGAAGATGACTTTGAGGAAAGGCTGCTGTCTTCCACATTCAACTTACAAACTTAAAAATAATAGTTAAAAAAAAAAGGTTGAGCTTCCACCAAAAATCACCACCACTCGAATCAATTCAAACAACTGCTGTTAATTTGGGCTAAAATTTCTCCCTGTGTAGCCCAAACTACCACCACCACCATCTGAAGAATTTTTAAACAGTCATCTGAGGGCAGATCTCTGCTAAGAGGGTGCATACTGCAAGGAAGACAGGTGATCTGGCAATGCAGTATGATGTTACTTTTCTAATGACAGTTACTCCAGGACCAGGAAAAGACCGAGGCAGGGCTTTGGAGCAGTGTTTCATGCTCAGCAAGCTTGCAGAGGGAAGGAATGCAATTCTATAAATCACTTGTACTGTATTTCTGTTTCTAGACTTGAATGAATTTCACTTTTCCTTTGTGGGTCAGCATAGTAAACACTAAAGCAAAGGTCTATTTTTATAAATCTCTTTCACCAGTTGAGAGGGCTGACCTGCAGCCACCAGATGGACTTATTTATCCACAGAGGACAGAATGTTTATTTTTACACTAAATTACTTACAGCACTGAATAAAAGAAAATAAGGCCTTTGAACTATCTAAATAATATCACCAAATTGCAGAAGTATGTACATATGGTGGACAGTTCCATCTTTCTTCCCAGTAAGTCTCTCAAAAGAAGTTACTCAGAAATAAACTTCCAAACAAAGTACAAGAGAGCCCAGTGATCTTACAACAGGTAATTTACGAACCAGGAGAAATCTCAATGAAGTGAGCTAGATCTACTCACTAGCTAAAAAAACCTGCAAATGTAAAGTAAATGGAATGCTCTTGGGATACTGAGTTGCTTCCTCACGTGATGCTGTACCCGGTACATTTGGCTTCATTTGACTTCTGTGTTGTGGTTTACATGCCAGCCACTGTTATAAACTGTACACAACACCTGTATTTGCACTGTAATCTTAATTCATTCGCCACTGATTGTAACCCAACGCCACAGACTTCTCTGTATATAAAACCATAGCCATGTCCCACTTGCTTTCAATAGCATACAATAAAGGCTTATATCTCTGTAAACAAAAATTATGTCCTTACTACTTATTTGGGTTCTTTAATTTTATTTTTGTTTGCAGTGAGGAAACTGGCTTTAAGGTTTTTTGAAGCCTGGGAAGCCATACGTCTGTCCTGTTTCAGTCAGGTAACAGGCACAGCAAAAGGTTAACACAGGTTTCCCAGGCTGCAGTCTTACCAGGTGGCTATTTAGCAAAGCTGCATTTTGGGTGATGGAAACTTAAAGCATGTTTACAGCGTAAGGAGCAGAATGCCCTCCTGCACAAAGGCTGCAACTGAATAAAACATAGGGGAGAAAGGTCTGCATATGCATGCTGAGGCACAGATATTGTGCAAGGGCTGCTGCACACAAATTCTGCTGGGGGTGCGACAGCTGATGAGAGCAGTAACACAAGACTGAGAAGACTGTGAAAATACTGGCCAGAAATGGAAGTTTTCCTTCAGAATAAAAAGCTGGACATTTTCTAGCATTTCGTTGATCGCTAAAATACGATGTCTGTTTTCTTAAAAGGTAAATTCGAGAATTTAAAAAAAAAAAAAAAAAAAAAAAAAAAAAAAAAAAAAAAAAACCTCTCACAAACTTTTATTCTATTCCACCCCCATCCCTTCATTCTATTTCCTAGAACACTAAATTCCTGGAGTCCCAGTTTGCCCTCTGCGGTCTGAAGCAAACCCAGGCCTCTTCTTTGTCCAGAGCCTCTGAGGGCACAACAGGATCCCAGGAAAACCACATGATTGCTGTTGTTTCTTCGAGGCTACAACTCACAGCTTCCTGGAACACACATGTCCAGTTGCCTGGAGTTACAGAACATGCTTTTATCCTAGAAACTAACACTAGCCATTTTATCAGAAGCCCTTATCTTCTAAGTGCTTTTTTCTGGTCCTTAATTCAACTTTTCAAATCTGACTGCACAGATTATTAATCCAATTCAAAGGAGATCAACTCTGAAGAGGTTTAAAAAGGGTTAGGAGCTGACTTCAGTCATGAGTGCTCTTAATAAAATGATCTGGAAAGCCACAGCCTAGCATATATACCAATGGAAATAAGAAGTGGTGTGTGACCTCTGCACTATGCAAAGCAGCGTGCAGCCAGCTGAGCCTGCAGTTGTGAGGCCAACAGCTCAGCTGGGCACATAGGAGCTACTGAGGGAACGAACCTCTGTACCAGAACTGCCTAGACCATGTTTCCTTTGCAAGGCAGCTCCATCAAATACTTAGAAGGTATGATCCAAAGAAGAACCGGCTGTAGTCAGTGAAGAAAACCCCATTAACAGTTGGCTGAAACAGAGGTCCATTTTACCCTACATACTGCCGTAATACTCTACCTATGTACACACAGCGTTAGCTAGCTTATTAAGAGGTCATTCAGAAAGCTACCTCAGGATTAGCATCTCAGAGGTGCTGAGCAGACTGACAGCCCTTCAACTGCTGCTCAGTGCCAGCTAATGAAATGCACTGGGTGTGCTCCAGCAGCAAGCCGATGCCCTGTGGCATCACAGGAACGAAACATGGGGTAGATCAGAGAGTGGCACATGGCATGAGTTATATGATGCCGATTCTAGATCTATAAAGGAGAGTATAGCTCTCTTTCCTCACTCCTTGGCCTGACATTGCTGGTCAAGGCAGCTACAGGGAGGCTGCTAGTTTAACCCCTTGTATCACTACTGTTCCATCCACCCCCTGCCAAAACAAACCACACAACCACTTCAGTCCATATACTTTTTCTCACCATAGTGCTTTATTGTTCCAACACTCAATGCCTGCAGCTGAAGGCAAGCAGTGAGCTCTCTAAGAGGAATAGCCCTCCCCAGGCTCAAGCCATTCCCACAGCTGCTTGACTGCACCAGGCCTGTCTTTTGCTGGCACAGCACTGAAGGGATCCCTGCA